AAACACGTTGCTTTTTGCAGCCCCCCCCCCAAAAAAAAAAAACAAAGAAGAGGAAGAACAAACAAAACAAAAACATAACCAACAAATACAACACTGCCAACATGCCAACAACTGTGAAGTGAAAAAAAACCCGAGGTAGGACCGACCCGCGCGCACGGCGCGCGAGGACTGCGGCACCGCGCCCTGCGCGCCTTGAGGATCTCCGGGTGCGGCAGCGTCACCCGCGTCTCGTCCCCCAGCTGTGGGTCCATGTCGAAGCGGAAGCGCTGGCCCAGCTTCAGCTGGATGGCGCCCTCCTTGAACTGACCGCAGCGCTGCTTGGGGCCCTGCATGTCCTAAGAACATCCAAAAAGCACATGGCCGTGTTTGTCAAAACCGTTTTGGGATCCCATTTGGTTGGGAAGTGTAATTAGGTGCACCACCCATTTTAGAACCTAGTTTAGTGGGGATTGGGATGTTCACTGGGGGTGCGGGATTTTGACCCATGGCCACATGGCTCAAACATAGGGGAGGTCCCCAAATGGAACCCTGGTAAATGGGAAAGTAGACGAACACCTGCGTAACCCCAGCTGACTAATTTTGAGCCACACCCAAATGAAACAGGCCCCACGTTGGAGTTTTCAGAACCCTCTCTTGTCTGCTTTCCTTTAGCCGTCACCCCACCAACTGGAAGCCATTCCGCCTTGGTATACCATTGGGATCATCTTGATTCCAGCCAAACCGTAGCTTACGGTCTATGGACGTACACGTCTCTCCCTGCCAACTAGCTCCTTTGCAAGGCCCCTAGGAAAAAAAACTACTTCCATGCAGTAGTGATACATTCCCCTTAAATCCAACATGTGAAAATAGCAAATCGTCTTGAGCAAATGAAAGGAGAGCCAAGGCACCGCCAGAATTCCGATGGGATGCCGATACTTCGCTTCCAGCGCTCTGAGGCGAGTGATGAGGTCTGCCTGCTGACAGGTGGTCGCTCGGCCACCAGCGACCCGACGGGGTACGATCCAGGACGTCGTGATCAATGAGAGGGGGCCGGGCCCCCAGGAGACGCTCCATAGCCCACACAAGCCGATGTATATACAAATGCATATATATATATATACTCAGTTGCCCAAAGGACCCAAAACTAAAAGGTTCACCTTTTGGCACCTCTACTAAAAATGGACCAACATGGGAAAACCAAAAGGTCAAAAGGTCGGCTTTGGACAACTGAGTATATATATATATATATATCTATACATATATATATATATATACGAGTATATATTTTCTCCGGGCAAATGGGTATGTGCCAAAGCAGGGGACCCTGGGTTTCTGTGTGACACCCCCCGCAAAAAAAGAAGAAGCAAAGCTGAAAATAACCTCACAAAACCACCTAACAGTGGCGCAAAACCGTGAACGAGCGAACTCAACTCTAGCCAAACCACCACAAATCCAATGAACTCCTCTCTTTTTCAAGGTGCAAGGTCGGCCACATCTGCAAACAAAGGGCCTACGTAAGCCATGGCAGTTCCCCTCTCCTATTGGCTTCATTTCACTGAGAAAAGGCTCTGACAACAATCAAAACGCATCCCACAGAAGCCCAGCCTTCTCCTCATGCTCGCCATGGGAGAAGTTCAGGCGGAAGGTGTCCACCCCACACAGGAAAAGCCTAACACAGGGGCAAGACCTGCGTTGCCATGGGGATAGTTTGGTGGCTCGGTTGGGTTACAGGCTAGGGGTTGTGGGTTTCACGTGGGGGCTTTGAGGGCTTAAGGTTGGGGTTTCTTTCGTGCCGGTTGAGCGTGGACCCGACGCGGCTATGGACTCTTGTCGTTTGCTGACTGGGTCTCTCATTTGGAACCCACGGGTCATCCGCATGCCCGAGGGTTCCTTGCCCCCCCATTGAAAGAAAGGTAAGGACCCAATTTGGATGATGACAACCCTTAGGAAAACGCTCTGGTGGTTGGTGGTTTGAACCCAAGGGCATAGAACAACTCACATGAATCAATGAACCAACTTTGTCCGGCCACACCTCTCACTCCAACCTTTAACAGCCTTTCTCTGGCCCTCTGCCGCATGCTACCAGCTCGTCATGTGTTTGAGTCCTGTGTAACTTGAAACTCGGTCTGTAAACCACTTAGCCATAATCCTCTAGGCCAAAAGAGACATGATGCAATCTCATCAACCCTGAAGGCCTGAAGGTGACAAAATCTGGTGTGCCTCTTTCGGATGCAATGCCACTTGAACCAGTGGAATATTTCAAGTGTGAGGCCCTCATGAGAGGCCCGCTGGCAGGTTTGAACCTCCAAATTGCCCGCTGTTCGCCACTGTCATAAGGCCTTGCCTATTCATTCAGCGAGCCATGGCTGCAAGAGCTAGGGTGGGTATCTCACAAACTCATGCTTGAGCTGCCCTGGTTCCCTTGAACAAGCAGCCCAAACGTGGCCTTGCTCGAAAGTGCCCAAACATACCTTTCACTTTGCCGGACAGCGCCGGAGCGACGCCGCAGCCCCCATTTCCCAGCTTCCCGGTGACGCCGGGGGAAGAGTTGGGGCCCTTTGTGGCAGAAAACCCGCCAAATGGCCAAACACAAGACCTGCCCATTTGGCATGTCCAGCTTCATTCTGAGTGCCCTTTAAAAAAAACACCGAAGGGATCGAATTCCTTGAACTGAGGCTGAGAGCTCCATGCCAAGCGGCTCTTCCAACTTCTCATCGCTTGAGGATGCAGGGCCAATGGTCGCCACCTGCTTGGCGCCCTTTCCTTGGCTCTGAACAAGGAAGCCATTCACGCGGGGCTCCGAGCGGATTGATTCCTCTGCTCTCCGGGGGTCCTCCGAATGAATGGGAAACAAAGAGGGCGCTACTTTTTGGAAGTTGATGTTAAGGGAAAACTCCCAACAAAAGCAAAAAGCAAAACGGACACCGTTGGGTGTCTGGATGAATCTGGCCCTTCGTCGGCCAGCAAAACTGAATGGTGGCCGTACACCCCATGAAATCCCTGGGGTGGTTTGGCGGCGGTGCAAACAAAATTTGAACCTGTTGTTCAGACCTCTCCCGTCTTCCCAGTTAAAGAACATACCAGGGGTTTCAGAGTGAAACCAGGATTCTATGACCAAATCGCCAGTACAGGGTCAACACCGGTAAAACCACGAGGTTTTGTACGGCTTCATTGCGGGGTGCAACTTACTAAACCGGGTTCTTCTTTGGAACTTGGGGGGTGTAACGTCGAGCGCAACCTCTGGTTTCAATAAGGCAGTGGTCTACCCCAGTTGGCTGGTTCTGTGGATGGACGAACTCCTGCACCACCTAAAAAACCCTGGACTGATGATTCCCCTGTAAATACCAACCAACAATGGTGTCCTATGTCTCATAGTGGTGCGAAATTGATTTCGCAACCATCCACAGTAGGACCCATGAACCAATGAACCAAGGCGCGGCATGCACGCACAAAGTCCCCGCCCAAGGTCATCACATTGTCTAAACCCACTGACTCCTCCATGAGCTCCTGCCAGTGACGACCGGGACCCCGGGACTCTTCTCCGATTCAGCGATCACGGGTTTTGTGGTTGACCACTTTTTATGGGGGACTCCAAAGTGGGGGGGGGGGGGGTTGACCACTTTTTATGCTTAGAAAAGGTGGGACCCCACAGTGCTTCATCGGGTCTCGTTGCGCACACCTCCCTGCTCATTCGCTACAGGGAGGGGATCTCCTGCGGGATAGTCCGCGTGTCGCTCTTGGCGCCGGGCCAGAGGGAGCAAACGTCGCCGTCCTCAGAACAAGCGAGCCAGCCGACAGAAAGGCTCAGAACAGCGTTGCCCAAGAACCAGTCCAAGATATGCCACTCAAAAAAAAGAGACTTGCATTACAAGGCCATCGAGGCCCCTCTTGTTTCTGTTGCATTCGATCTTCCAGCGGAGGTGGGACGAACCCTTTGTCTGGACATACTCAAACCACTGTTGACTGTTGCTTAGGCAATCTTCCTTTGAGACTCCCTCCGAAAGTACCCAGGGTCGGGCTAGTCCCCCAATCTTTGCCAAGCTCGGTCGTTGTTGAGTGAAGCTGCTAGCACCAGGGCACCAGGGGGGGGCTCAATCTTCCACATCCTTGAAGCCCAAGCGCCACTTCCTCGACGACCTGCACGGGTCGCTGCTTCAGCGCCGACCTCCGCGACGTCGCCGCCTTCCGCTGCGCGGCCGCCAGGCGCGCGGCCGCGGCGCCCAGCGCCAGCGGCACCGCGCGGGACGCGGAGGCGGAAGTCGCGTGGCCCTCGGCCGAGGCGCCAGGCGAATGATTCGGGTACCCCTCCAAAGGTCCCTCCCTATGACTACGGTCGTACTAAGGGGGAACGGCCCCCGAAAAGCTCCCTATACTTTTGTACTAAGGGGGAATGGCAATGGCCCCAAAACCAAAATTTTCACACCACCCTGCCTCCGGAGTCGCGAAGGATGCGCTCCGCGCGTGGCTGGACAGCGCCGCTGCCGGCACTGTCGTGGGCGCGCCCGCCAGAGTGGGGGAGACGAAGTTCAGCGCCATGGCTCTATGGGTGTTTTTTGAGAACAAAACTGGCTGCGGGAGCTGCCACTGTCAGCTTCGCTTGCAACAATGTGCCATTCCGCTGGGCCAAGGCGCCAGTGCACAACAAATCTTCTATCCTTTACTCGACAACCAAGCCCACGCTGCCCAAAATGCTCAGCTTTTTGTTGCTCCCTCCCTGTAGCTCGGTTGGCCTGCCGGTCTGTGCTCTGCCATAGGGTCGGTGGGAAAAGTGCGCATTTTCCCAGCCCAGCGGCCCTGGTAGAACAAGACTTGCCCTTTTTGGGGGGCCGATTCCATTCGGCCCCACACTCAAACATACGAATTCGTACGAACTAAAGAGTGATCTGAACCAAGCCGAAGGTCTGAGGATGTCTGAGGTCCAGCCTTTTCCAAAAGGTTAAAGGTCCGGCCAAAGGAGCATTCAGGGTTTAGGGTCCAGCCGAACAGCAGCCAAAGCATGAGGCGTGCTTTGGCCCCATCGCCTTGGCTTTGGCCTTTGGCGGCGGTGGGGCCTTCCCCTTGCCGCGGCCTTTGCCTGGCGAGTCATGGAGTGGTTTTTCACAGTTCGAGCCGTCTAAGCGGTTGGTGGGCAATGTGGGCATGAATCCCCATCTCAATCGCCTACATCCACCCAAATTCAAAATGAAGCATCTCCCGAGTAGAATTTGCACTGGAGGGGGCATGACCCGGGCCCCAACCTAAGAGTTACCTGCCCACAACCCACAAATGCAATGGATTTAAATTTGTTTGGCAAGCAAGCCTTCACCAAAATGCTCTGAGCCAAACATCAAGTCGAGTTTTACAGGGTAGGGATAGGGTTGAGCACCAGCTCCTCGAACCTGGCGGGTATGCACGCATGCCGCAGGCTGATCCATGTTTGAACATGCTGTGAATCCTTTGATTTGGCCTCCCCGCCGAATTGTATATCGACAAGGTCGAGTTGCAGCATATGTACGCCCACTCTTTATTTTGGGTAAACCATAAAGCCACAAGCAAAGTATCAGCAACCCGCCTGCAAGGAAGTTATGCGAGGGCAAGTTCAGCCGCCCTCCCCGCCTCTGGCTGGCACGGGGGCCGTGATTTGGACCTCCGGCATCTGCCGCACATCTGGCGGATCGCTCCACACGCTGAGACAGGGATGCCAACCGGTGGCCGGCCGCACTCACTGGCCCCCCAAATATGCATGACTCAGCAGGCAAGTCACAAATCACTCACGAACAGCGTGGATTGCTGGATTGCTCCAACAATTACTTGGCTCGCTCAACTTTCACGTGGGTCTTGCGGCAATCAGTTGCGGGAATCCCTGGCCCCCACCCCTGGCAGGATCCACCAACTGGGTGTGTCATTTTACGAGAGTACCCTTTGTTGGGGTTGTATCAAAGGACGGCCCAACTAAGTGGAAGCCCTCCATTTGGGGTTTTCCCAGCTGGCTGGTGGCAAAGAATTTTTATCTCATGAAGCATATCGTCTTTCTCGACTGGAAGGAGAGGTTCCCGGCCCTTTCCGATGCCAGCTCTTTCCCATACTTCTAGCCCAGACCTCCTCTGATCGAACACTTCCGAGTGGATGAGCCCAGTTACCAAAAAGCTCAAAGGCCAGGAGTAAGGACAGGGGAGCAAAATCTATCCGCACCACCTTGGTTGCTGTTGACCCCCCTGCAAAAAGTGAATAACTTTTTGGGGGGTTTAGTGGAAAACCACTTGATTTCCCAAAAAGTTAGAGTCTAAAGATCCAACCCAATAGCAGTTAAGCCACCAGGAGTCTGCGAGAGTCTTCCCGTGTCCGTGCCTTGCCGTGCTTGCCTCATCTCCTCCACCGCAGCGATCCAGGCACTGCGCTGCTGTGCCCCGGAGGCGCAGAACACGAGCTCCTGAGCCAGCGGGTTCCGGTGGAATGGACCCATATGGACCCCCAACAAAAGCTATGGGGAGGGGGGGCGGGGTCCTAATTAAGCCCTTGAAAGGGGCCTTCAGGGCTTATCCTTGGGTTGTCCTGGGCTTATCCAGGGATAGCCGCCCCCCCCTAGGCCCTCACGAAAGTTCCGTGGTTGAAGGATACATCCAAAGCCAGCGGCTTCACAAGGAAATCCCCGAAATCAGCTGGTAAAGGAGTTCTTGTTTGGAGCCAAAGTATCCTAAGGGGGCTCTGAAAAATGAGGCCCTGCCCAGCTTTGCATCACAGAAGTGGTTGGAAGGGCAACCGGCAACCGCCCGAGGAGGCGCACTAACTAAAATGTTTAGCACGTACGCTATAGAAGGAAATAGAAAGCTCTGTAGAAGAAAATAATTACTAGGCTCTGTAGAAGGAAATAAAAGGATCCGTAGAAGGAAATAAAAAGGATCTGTAGCAGGAAAAAAACTTTGCAGAAGGAAATAGAAGGCTCTGCAGAAGGAAATAGAAGGCTCTGTAGAAGGAAATTAACAATTCTGCAGAAGGAAATAGAAGACTGTGCAAAAGGAAATAGAAGGCGCTGCAGAAGGAAATAGAAGGTTCTGTAGAAGGAAATAGATCCCGTTTTTGAAAAGAACGATGGTTCAAAAGAATGGAAATGGAATCAACCCTGATTAATTCACTTTACGCACAGAATCTGGGAGTTCCACATTTTTCCACCATCGCCCATTCTTGCATAGGCCAAAGGTCCAAAAAACGGCACCACACCTTGACCCAGGTGGCTTGGGGTTCCGCTGAACCCACGCACGGCGCCCCTTCCTGGCCATCCCGGAGCACCAGCGCAAAGCCCGCGACGTTGCCCAGGTGCCTGACACAGCTTGAAGTCTGAGGGCGTTTTTGGCGTTAGGCCCCCAGGGAAGGTTGTTCTTGGCAAGGGTATGTTTTTGGGGGGCAAATTCTTCTGCAACCTGCCAAGCAACCAAAGTGCTTCGCTTGAAAGTTGGGCTTTGGGTTGGCCGGAGGCACCAGCAACTTGAAGAAAAAGCATGCCCCTCCCTGAAGGTGTCACGTAAAGCGGAAGCAAGGCACGGGTCTGGGAAGTACCTCTGGGCTGCCAAGGCTCCTGGGCTTCTCGGGACGCGCCCCGGGCGGAATCGCAAAGGCCTCGGCTTGACACTCGGCTTGAGCGCGGCCGAGTCTCCAGGCTCACGGACCAAACAAAAAAACGGCCGAGTCTCCAGGCTCACGAACCCCCCCCCTCCCCAAAAAAAAAAGCGGAAAGGGTTTGCCCTAGGGCCTCTTGCAGCAGCCAATGAGTGTGTTGTGCCTCCTAGGGACTACCAAAACCAGCTCTGGATGATGAGTGACCATTGGCTTCTGCGGAGAGCTCGTGGGCAGCAACACAAAATGATTGTGTTTGGAGGCTGACTGTAGCCAGTTTCCATTCTGTGGCCTGAGTGATTGAACACGCTGGACTCCAACATCAAATATGTGCTTCCCTGCAGCCAGTCAATCTGGTCGGTCGCTGCTGATGTTCCATACGCAATCCTTCCGTTCAGAAAGCAACCATGACTAAACATGGGTGTCAGCCTGGCCAAAAGACCATGAGTTTCCCCCGAAAACAAAGAAGACATGTTCATGTTGCTTCCTTGTCTCACTTCCTGACTGGAATGGGGCTGAAAGAAGTCCAAGCCTTTTGTTTACCACAAACATTGTTGTGCCAAGTCTAAAGTCCAGAAACTCAGGGAGTGAGTTGTTTGAAGACACATGTGAAAATACCCTCCGCGAAATTCGGCGAACTGGCCGAATTTCGGGCTTTCCATTGCGAAGCCACAGGGATTTCGCCCATCCGAAGCAGGGAGTTCAAGTTCAGGCGCACGGGAGTCCACTAGAAGGAGGCTTTCCACCTGGCTTTCGAAAGGCTCTCGATGCGGCTTTGGTCGACAGGACCTGGCTTACCCAGGTCCACGCACAAGCAGCACACATCCAAACTATTTCAAAGATTGTGGTGTAGCCTTGAAACTGTTTTGTAGGAGACCCCTGGGTTGGGCCAATTTTGTTTGGGTAGATCATTGGTTCCCAGAGGGATGCACACAAGAAGCGACCTTAAGGAAAAGCACCAGAGAACCTAAACCTCCGCGGCTGAGAAAGGATAAATGCTCCTTGGGCATATTTGGCTTGGACAGGCGACCTCAGGACACAACTTTCACCCATCCCCACCCAGGGTGGCCGCTGACACGGGGGCACTGTTGCAGGTGTTCACTACCCGGCACTGGGATATGCAAAGCCACTATGCAAAGGGTAAGCCAAACGGGTTTGGAGCTGGCTAGGGAAACAAGAAGACACCTGGCGCAAACCAATCATTTTGGTCCCTGGCCCCGGCACAAACCAAGACAGCACGCCTTGAGGATGTCCGGCAGGGGGATGGAGTCCCGCGGTTTGCCCCGGGGCCAGGAGAAAGTGTAGAAGCGCCGGCCGTCTGCGAGGACCTCACGGGGCTCACCCTCTAAACTACTAAACGGCCCAGTCAATGGCTGTGAGTCAAAACCAATGGACCCCATTTTGGGGGAGGTGCACCACCCATTTTAGGACCTATGTTTGTGGGAATTGGGATGTTCACTGGGGGTACAGGATTTTGACCCATGGCCAAATGGGTGTGTTTTTTGAGGGCACCTTTTCACCTGGCCTGAAAGGGAACCCAAAAGCAAACCACTATTTTAGCGGATCGATCCCCATTTTCGTACACCTAAGCACTGGAGAGGAAACAGGCGCCCCCACCAGAAAGTCCCCTTCATAGGAAACTTGTCTTTCAGGTCCGCTCGCTAGGTCCTCTGAACGGGGAAAATTGGAACAATGGCCTAAGTGAACCATTAGACAGCAGCTGGAAGGCAACAGCAAAGCTGTGGGCAGCCTACGGTACTCAGTTACTCGCAACAGCCGGTCCCCTGTGGTTGCGGTCATGGTGGCGTTTACCATCTTGTGACTTGGAAAGTAGACGGGTTGATTTATAGGGGGTGTCCCCTTTTAGTGGGGATTCATCACTTTTGGAGGACACACCCCCCTAATGGGACGGGTTTACTACTCCTGGGTCAACACGTCAACAGCATTAGCGGGCAACATTGAGCTGTTTGATCAGGGGCTGCTCAAGCATGTTGCAAAACGTCCGCCCGACCAACCTCCCCCTCCCCAGCCCAGCGCCTTCTGCCACTCCCAGCGCCACCCGCGCTGACGCAGCAAGTACCCCGTGACCGGCTCTTCGGGTCCTGGGGCTGTTGCAGCGAAGCTCCAAAGCGACGGCAGACGTCTCCACAAGCAGAAAGCGACTCATATTCGAAGCCGCAATATTCAGCTGGAAGCGGGCAACAAGTCTCCGCTTGGTTGAATTGCGCCAGGCTTTCATGGTCATGCGGCCATTTTGCTTTAAAACCAAACGGGCAAAATAAAACCATCTTACTAAAGTTCAAAATGGGTTGGCGGGGTTGAACCATGGGTTGACATTCGCCAGATTGGGTCAATCACTTGCATGGGACTACACCACATGCTGCTAGTTGCCCGAATGCTGACAGACTATGCGCAAGCGAAGGGCTGGCCGAACTTGGTAATTGTTGTGGCCCAACATGATCATCTCAAGGCATAAGCAGTCAGGCTCAACTGCGCCACATGGATGCGTTGGATATCCCCAAAGCGCATCCTGAGCCCTCCCCCTCCGCCCACGTCACTGTCCTTCCCCCGGCAAACGCTGCAGCGAAACTCCGGGCGCGGAGTGCTGTTGCCCCATGGCGTGTTGCACGTGCTTTGGAAGTGAGGCTCAAGTTGGAGTGTTCCATGTCAACGGATGAGTCAGACTTATGGTCCAAGGATCCGGGCGCAGGAAGACGTGCTTTGACTTGCTGCCTCTTGCACGATTTCAGCAAGACCGGACCACAACAATAAGGAAAAGCCAGCAAACTTGAATAAACCCCATGCTTGTGGCGCAGAACTTGCATCCCTGTCTAAGAATCATCAATCGTAAACTTATTGGCAGCTGTGCTACCTGGCGTTGCGGCCGTGCCAGCGCAAGCCCCTGCAAGCAATAACGGCTTCGGTCGCTGGGGCGCTTCATGCGGCGTCCTGTGAGGCAACTAATCATGTGTCACCACATGTCCAGCCCAGCCCAGCAGAAGAACATGTTTACTTAACGAGTATGAGTGTCAACCAGTTTCATATATATCAAACTCCCCCTAGAAATGACACCAACAGACTACTCTAATCTAGAGAGACACGCACATTGACGAGGCCAAGAACAGGAAAGACTGGAGGGTATCCTTCATGTCCACATCCTCTTCTTGAACCTCCTCCTTTGTCTCCATGGGCTCTTCTTTCACCTGCTCTGCTTCTTGAGTTTCCTCCTCTTCTTTCACCTCTTCCTTCACTTTTTCCTCCGCCTCCTCCTCCTTGGTCTCCTCTTTTGTCTCCTCCTTGACCTCTTCTTTGGCCTCCTCTTTCGCTTCCTCCTCGGCCTCCTCATCCTTTCCTTCCGCGGGCTCGACCTCGGCCTCCACTTTGGCCTCCTCCGCCTCCGCCTCTGCCTCTGCCTCGACCTCCGCCTCGGCCTCCGGCTTCGGCTTCTCCTGCGCGATTCGGTCATACTGTGGGATGGTTGCGAAATCCATTTCGCACCACTATGAAACCGTGGCTGAAACCATGGCATGGTTGGTTGGAATTTACAGGGCAATCAGCATTCCAGGGTTTGTTAGGTGGTGCGAAATGGATTTCGTCCATCCACGGTCGTGAAGCGGCCCTCACCACCCAGTTGTCCACAACCATGGACAGAAGCTGAGCCATGACATCATGAAGACCGCTCCTTCGTACAAAAGAAGACTCACTTGCTGAGCGAGTGGGTTTGCCCAAGCAAGTCCGAACTTGTTGATTGCCACTACATGTGTCTCCCCACAAAACCCCCCCAAAAAAAATCCTGGTCCTCGGGGTGTGAGAAGATCGATCCAAACAGCTGCCAGATTCCAGGAACATCCGGGTTGCACCAGCATTCCAAAGATCTGGACCTGAATTCTGCCGGCCTGCCTTTACTAACGAATCGGGAAGGCATCCACTTCCACCAAATAACCAACAGGGGCTGGATCCTATACTTCTCCCCTTCACACCTTCGCTTCCAGCCTCCGCTGCTTTCTTAGCCTGGAGCAACAGAAGAAACGGGCCGTCCCGAGCCAGGCCCCTGAAATGAACTACCTACCTGGAGTCTCCATGACCCCTTGAAAATTGGGGGGTCATTGCCCAAAATTAAGGGGTTATGACCCCTTTTTCTCAGGGTGGAGACTCCAGGTACTCCCATTTGACCGACCACCCATTTTGACAGCTTGAGGTCCACCAACGTGCCCTCCAAACGGCTGGTTTGCCCCAGGCCGCGCTGCCGCGACGCTTGCTTCTCCCTGCTCCGTGAGCCAGCGTCTGGAATATACAGACATCAGCTGCAACTCCCATGGGGTGGTCTTTTTGGTTGCCCAAACCTGAAAGCTGGCGAAGAGAAATGGAGACAAATCCAACGCAACAGGGGACTTCTCCAACCGGCCCTTGTCAGGTCATGCATTTGGGCAAAGGGCATGTTGCCAGACTGTTCCACAACAAGTAATCGCCCCAGCAGCTCAGCCCAATCTAAACTCACTCAAACTAACCCCGAACCAGCCCTGTCCAACACAGGGGAACCACAAGGAGACGACCAACAGGAAGATCAACAAAAGAACACATAAGCAAGGAAACCAACAAGAGGCCAATCAAATGCCCAACCATAAACCGAACAGACGTAATCCAACCACTCCTTGGCTACCAAAGACCCGCTCGCGCCTGCGGGTCTTTGAACTTCAAGCCCTGCGAAGAAACAGCACGACGCGTGCGGTCAGTGCCATGCGCTAGGCCATGACCCAAGACGAATAGGTCTACGGCCAATGGTAAAGGTCACGTCATCAGTGAAACACCTCAAAAGCGGTGAAGCAACACCCGCAAACTGGCTTGTGGTCAATGAGCAGGGTATGACTGAGCACACCAGGCAGCCCTGAATGGTTTGAAGATGTTTGAAGCATCTTAAAGTTCCCGGAAGTCAGCTGAAGTGCCCTAAGGAGCCTACTTGTTCCGTTGGAAACAAAGACCCCCACTTACTTTGCTGGAGGTTGATGTTGAAGAGGAATCCTTCTCGCGACCAAAAAAGGCGCCACGGAAAAGGTGGAACTGGACAGCTGGTAGCAAAAGGCGCCAGAAAAGGACCTACATCACAGCGAGCTCGTGCTACCAAGTCAGGTGAGCTTGCCATGGGCCAAAATCCATCCGGCCTCCTCCTGTTGCTTGAAGAGCAAGGCCTCCACCTCGCTTTCGCGGCGGGTGCGCTTAACCGGGCCATTTAAATGGAGGCAGGCAAGCTCTGCTGTGGTTGGGTCAATTGGACCATTCGCGGAGCTTGCGCGGAACTCGGCAGCAATTTGGATTTCGGCACTTTCGCAACCCTTTCGCGACCCTTACGCGTCAACTCCCCGAGTGCTGGCTTGAGACGAGATTGGCTCGCTGGCCATTCGCACCCCACCGTGACTGAAGGGGCCCCTTGGTATCGGAAAAAAAGTGGCACCCAAAAAGTCAAGGCTTGACAGTCATGGGCTAGTTTGGGCCAGGAGTGCCTGAAATCCAACTGCCAAAGCAACAAAGTGCAAAATCCTCGAGACTCGAGACAAAAATGCCTTGTGCCCGCCCTCCTTTGCTCCGCCCCGTGCAGCATGTGAAGCAAACGACCGCCGGCCCTCCAGCAAACATGGCGGCAATGCCAGTTTGAATTGAAACATGCGCTCTTCCACATCAACTGGCGCCTACCACCACAGAAGTTCCCAAGCTGCATCTCACCCCCAGATGCGAGAAACGTGGTCCCCCCCTCCATACATTATCCCCCTGTTCCGATGTAACCTTCCACACACCGGACCTCTACACATCACACCGGCCGCCTCATCCGTGTCCCCGCTGGCCAATGCCTGGGCCGGTTTTGTGACTGCCCACTTTGCTCTCAGTGGCACCCCTTCTGAGACGCACACAATCGGCACACACACTCACACTCACACACCCACGTACACCCACCCACCACCCACCCGCCAAGACACACACACACACATGCGCACACACACAAACAACACACACACACACAAACAACACACAAACAACACACAACACACACGCACACACGCACGCACGCACGCACGCACGCACACACGCACACACGCACACACGAACACACGCACACACGCACCCCCACACACACACACACACACACACACACACACACACACACACACACACACACACACACACACACACACACACACACACACACACACACACACACACACACACACACCACACACACACACACACACACACACACACACGCACACACACACACACACACACGCACACAAACACAAACACAAACACAAACACAAACACAAACACAAACACAAACACAAACACAAACACAAACACAAACACAAACACAAACACAAACACAAACACAAACACAAACACAAACACAAACACAAACACAAACACAAACACAAACACAAACACAAACACAAACACAAACACAAACACAAACACAAACACAAACACAAACACAAACACAAACACAAACACAAACACAAACACACACACACACACACACACACACAGACACACAGACAAACACAGACACACATAGACACAGACAGACACAGACACACACACACACACACAGACACACACACACAGACACACAGACACACAGACACACAAACACACAGACACACAGACACACAGACACACAGACACACAGACACACAGACACCACAGACACCACAGACACCACAGACACCACAGACACCACAGACACCACAGACACCACAGACACCACAGACACCACAGACACCACAGACACCACAGACACACAGACACACAGACACACAGACACACAGACACACACGAAGCGTGCCTAGCCCTTTGTGACATGGTTTGTCCAACACTGATTGTGAAGAGCTTGGTTCAATCACAAGCTGCCTGGATGTAGGACAGCGAGTGGCAACATGTCATCTTTACCCAATCCTGACTTGGGCAAATCGCCTGCATCAATGTTCATGGCAATGAAATTGCAAAGCCTCCTTTGGGAACGGAATCTGCCAAACTGTCTGCGTCCATTGATTCCAACAAGGCTATCTTTCTCGCAGACCTGCAAAGTCTTCACTCTAAAACAAAGAACACGAACGCGTGTGAAGGTTGTACCCTCCCCCACCTCCAACAGTCCCTCATGTTTCCCAGTTTGAAGCCAACACCCACTTTAAAAATCCCACTCTGCCCAATTTGGTCCGGTGGGCCCATATCTAGGCGCACCCCAAATGGCTTGCCCTGGTAAATGGACACATGGACGAAGATCTGCGATTTTATTAATGGTTTAATTTCGACCCATATCGATTTTGGTGCCCAAGGCCCAAGGTTAAAACAAAATAGCTGCGAAGGCGATTTTCTGGAAATATGTACCTGGAGTCTCCATGACCCCTGGAAAAAGGGGTCATAACCCCTTAATTTTGGGCAATGACACCATTTTTCAAGGGTCATGGAGACTCCAGGTACCTCATGGTCAGCTCTGGCGAATCTTTGCCCCGTTTCGAGATGCCGTCCGAGGCCCCGGGCATCCAACTCCTTGATCTCGTCCAGGAAGTTGGCGAACTCGTCCTCTCGAGAACTCGTGCGGTCGTGTTGCATCACGGCACCGGAGCCAGGAATCTAGCGGTGTGCGTGTGTGTGTGTCTGTATGTGTGCGTGTTTTAAGGGTCCCCCACAAAAGGAAACCAAGAGGAACACCAGCATTTGCTGGGTCCCCCTATGTTGACACATAACTACCCAGCTGTAGTTCCCACATTCTTTCGAGGGATCTGTTTTTCAGAACCCAGGGAATTTGTGTGGCTTCTCAAAGGACGATCGGTGAAACTAATGGGTAACCCACCTTCAGCGTGCGGCATGAGGCAGGTGGAACTCTCACACAACTCAAAAGCAATGATCTGATTCCAACCCAAACAAGCTCTTCCAAAAAACACTCGTTGACCCTTGTTCCAACAATGGGGGCGCACAGGAAGGAGCGTCTGTCAAGTGGAAACAGAACTGCTGCGGCCCGAAAGGCAACCAAATACACCTGGATGCATGATACAGTAAGGAGTGCTTCAGAAAATAACCTCCTCATGACGCCAGACCTCCTGATACAATCGGCGAGGGCGAGACCCGAAAAAGGATTGCCTTGCGTTTCCCTTTCAAACACAAGGGGAACAACCAAAAAAAGACGCACGCCTTCCGAAAACTTCAACTGCTTGTTGTTTGGAGGAGAACAGACCCTTTGCCCCAAAGTTAGAGGTAAACAGTTCGAACTGTTTGTGGATAAGCCGGAAAAACACGCACTTCAGCAACAGGCAAGAACTGGCGGCCAACTCAAGGTTTCACAAGTCCAATCAATTATCCACCAAGCTCTTGACATCTACAGTTCCAACTGCCTGAAGTACGCAATGGGCCCCAGGTCCTCCGGCTTGGCCTTCTCCTTGACCTCCGCTGCCTCAGCCTCGGCCTCGGCCTCGGCCTGCGAGAAGCGGCTGGGCAGGTTAGGCAGGTGGGCTTCTGTTGGAAACCACCCTCTTCAGGGTTCGGACAGGAGATTCATGAATTCAATTCCAGCTCCATTCTCTACATCAGCTGGCGGAAGGGACATAGGGAAACCAAAATGCGGGGCGGGGGGGGTCCCTATTTCAGGACAAACCCATCCACAGGTCTGCTCAAATCACAAGTCAAATAGGTTGCTTGTTCAAATCTTCACACCCCCTTCTTCACAGGATCTCCCAAACACCCCCCCTCCAAACAAACTTGTTTTTTTGGGGAAAGACTGGAATAGACGATTTTCTCGAGGTGTGGAAGGGCAAGGGGGGTGAGTGTGTTTGGGGGGTCCAAACGGAAAGGTATGAAAAAGCTACAAAGCTTTGCTGTCCAAGAAGCAGTCCTTGGGCTTGGGGAGTCAGCAAGCAGAAGGAGTTGATTCCGATCTCATGCTTTTCAACCATCGTTCTTTTCAAAAACCGATCGATCCGTGGAACTCATGGTTGGACTCTTCGTTCTTTAGGATGGCTCCAATCAAAGCGACTACCAGATTTGTTCCCCAAGGGGACATGGGCAAATTGGCGCCCGCCTCCCCCTGTTAGGAAATTTTGTTGTCCCCCCATGCCCCCCTTCAGAGTACCTATGGTTGCACCCCCAAAAGTGTAGTTTTTTCTCTGGAGGTAAACGTGTCCCAAAACTCTAGCAAGCGGGGTACTGTAAACCGAAAGGCCGAAGGGCGAATAATGACCGTGCCACTGTACAAATGAACCCTGTGTAATGAAGCAACGGTGTGGATGCGGCTTTTGCAAATCCACCCCTGGGTGTCAACATGACTAAACTGGACCCACAACGAAGAGGAGAGGTGGAAGCCACCAAAGGTGCATCCAGTCATGTAGGGTGCTGCTCCTGCTTTTAGGAACGATGCCCGGTTTCAAGGGTCATACTCTCGCGTTGCAGCCATAGGAGCCACAGTATGTCAGTAAGCCATGAGGGAAGGGCCCCCACCCTTCTTGGATAAGATTAAAAAGTTCTGAGTTTGGCCATGGGAGACCCGAGTTCTGCCCCTGAAAAAGTTTCGGGTCTTCACTGTTGGAGCTTGGATTCAACTCCTGGAGCCTGAAGAGACGCTGTCCAAAACTAATTCTAGAAGTCCTGCCATCTGGGAGATCTGATTCGGCCCCGCATATACATTACCCGCATATACCCGCATACGAGCAAAGGATGGACCGGACAAAGACCTCTTTCGCCGCTTTCTCTTTCTTTATGTCTTGGAAGAGCTCGGTGTCACTGCCTGCGGCATGCCGGCCGCTAGGCGGGGACCCCGCTCCTGCTTGAGCCATGTGCTTGATGTCAACCACACTCTGCTCGGAGAAGGCTTCTTCTACCCCATTGTTTCCCAAAGGGGGAGTAGGCGTTCGTTTACGTTTAATCGTTATGCAGCCCTTTGGTGTCGTTGTACGCGTATTTTTTCTCGAGGCAGTGTTTCGTGGAACGCCTTATGTCATGTTGCCTACCAATTTCATACAGTCAGTCGCCTTGCCAGTCTCATCCCTCTAGACCCTTTACAAAACAAGCATACACGCTCGAAACAGCTTGGGTGACAGAATGTGCCGAAACATATCCAGGCAAACAAAGTATTCACCGACCAACAGTGCCCATGTCCTGGTCTATACTAGCCAATCAAGTTTTTAAGCGCCGGCAATCTAACTTGCCAGATAGCTCTTGCCCCGTGCAGAACAAGCAGGCCAGCATTTCTTGAATGCCGCAACAAATCCATGATGATCCACGGTGGCAGCCCGGGCATCTGCCGAGTTTTCCCGTGCTCACTTTGCAGACATATGGCGCGCTTGAGCGCAAACTGTTGTCCAAATCTGGAATGACCAGGGGTGGGGATAAGGGCCAAGAGCAACGGGGACCAACAGTTGGGAGTCCCGATGGTCAGAAACACCCACATCTAAATAGCGCTTCGCTGAGGCTTCCCAAAGTCGATCTATATGAGCGACAAAATCACAACATGGACCAACCACAAACACCGAGAGTCGGAGAAGAAAGTACAAACAAACAACCCGCAACCTGCACGCCATCGTGCGAAACAAAGAACCCTTGGATGATACCCCCGTTTCGAGTGGGGATTTCGCATTTGGCTGTTCCAAAATGCGTAAATGGAACCCTGGCAAATGGAACCCCAAACTAGAACCTGCGGTCTTTCCTGGTTTTGTGTTGACCATTTTTGACCCATAACCATTTTGGTCGGGAGCATCCCTTGAGTCCCACCAGTTCATCGCCGTCGCTTCAACTGATCCCAGCCTTCGTCCTTCAAGGGCGAAACCGCACCGAACCTCAGGGAACGTCGGGGATCGGCTTGGATCCATGGAACCCTCAACCTGGGCGGCTTTTGTTTCCATGGCGGCAAGTGATAAGAGCAACCCACCGATTTTCGGTGCCAAGATGTGCTACAAAAGGACAACAACCCTGAGCCCATACTATCGATCCCCGAAGTAGAATGTGCAAGTACACCATGGTGCACCCACAAACGTCACACACCCTTGCAACACCAGCGAGCAAAGCCGCGTAAAACTTGAAGGAGGTGCTTGTGAGCGCAACCAAACCGTATTGGTTAGCCATGCAGCTTGCTCAAACGCTCAAAAGGAACCTGCACCAAAGGGGTTGTCTGTTTTGCGTATTCGGAACCCATCTGTCCTTCATTTTCCTGGGTGCTTCCTGCAATACGGCGATACTCCCCAATAGAACCCCTTGAGGGGTCTATGAGAAGGGGTTGTTCAGCTCAGGATTCTGACAGCTCCGGAAAGGGGAGGCTGGGTCAGTGTTCTACAGGCTTGGTGTCGAGATTGACTTTTTCACTGGGAGAATCAGCAGGGCCCCCGCCTTAACCAGGGATACGGGAGGATTCCCCCGTTTGATGCACCTTACGAGGTTTGATATGAGAAATGGCGCCAACTCCGTATCCCCGCCTGTTCGTTTGTCCGACACAGGACCTTTTCTCAGCGCACAGCTGCCGGCTCGCTTCGGCTTCTCCGGTGCCCTGTGCACCCGGAAGCGGGCAGAGTCGCCCCGAGGCGGCGAACGAAACCCAGTGGCTACGGTGGATGGACAACGTCAAATCCAATTCGCACCAGCTGTTTGGTAGCTATCCTCTCTTTCCACAGGGCTTTATCCATATGAACTGTGCAGGATTTTGAACACCCACAAAGTTGCCACATGGATGCACCCATCTGAAGCACTGGCCAAAAAACGTGCGCGGTTTGCCCACAGCACAGGCCCAGCCACAGGCACATCTCTAAGAACCATTCCACACAAAAATTGCAAACGTTCATCGTAGTGCAAAGTCGATGTTCGCTGCCAAAAGGGCTCCGATTGATTTAGGGCCTTCAAACAACCTGGTTTTGAGACCCCCACCCACCTCCGGGGTGTCTAATGGAGGGGTCGGGTCTTCCATTGAAAGCTCCAGGAGCCTCTGCGTGCATAGGTTGCATCTACCTGCCAAAGCATAGCAGCTACGATCCCAAACCCATTCTGCCATACAGGACTTTCTTTTCCTCCAGGTATGTGCAGTTGCGAAATCCTCAGCTGCTCATTCGGATCCCTGAGGCAGGTAAATGAAGGAACAAGAGGCGAAGCAAAAAAAAACAAGGGGCGAGCCGGGGAACCCAAAAACCAAGATGCGAACAAATATTTGTGATGACTGTCAGCGAACTGCTTGCCCAAGGAAACCGACATTCTGGCTTGCTCCTTCTTATTTGCTTGCAATGTTTTTAGGCTATAAGGTGGTTCAGAGGGGACGGCGGCTTGCTCGCGCCGCACGCGCGCCGCGCGCGCGCGCGCCTTTTCATGTGATGTTGAGCACATCGAAAGGCGCGCGCGCGGCGCGCGCGCGGCGCGAACAGGCTTGCCTGATCGCTTGCGCGGTATGCTGCAAACTCGGCCCTGCGGTATGCGGTAAACCAATCTCGGCACACTTGAGCTCGGTCCCGTTCTTGCCGGCAATTCAGCCGGCAGGCCGCCTGTTCGGCCATTTCCCGGCCAGTTGCGTTTACACGGCATGCTGCCTGCAAACATGGCACACTTCAGGCCGAACCCCTGCTGATCCTCGCTCCCTCGCGGTTAGACAACTAAACGAGAACTCAACCCCAAAGGGGTTTTTGGGAAAAACCTGTTTGCCGCTGAAACCTTCTAAATGAGGACCAGTTGAAACGCGTACCGGGGGATTGGAACAAGGGAGTCTGCAGAATCCTAGCCGACGCTCCCTGGCGCTGCGAAAGCCGACCTCTTCAGCAAAAAGGTCGCGCCGGCAACAAAACACAGGGTGGGACCATGATCTCGAACCACCGTGGCTCAAAACTGGTAAGTGGAACCGTGGTAAGTGAAAACATGGACTGAAACCTGCGGTTTGCCCCTCCTGTATAATTTTGAGCCACACCCAAACATGTGCGGGAAAAGATGCAAAAAGGCGCGCTCAAGCATTCAGCTTCTTGAATCTGCGGACAGGAACTTTGAAGGAAACTGCTTGGTTGTACCACTTTTGCAAAGAAGCTTGGGACAATCCGTCAAAACAGAACAACACAACACAACAACAGAACAACACATGGTTCTGGGTCAAAAATAGGTACCCAAAATAGAACCCTGGTAAATGGACACAACTACTAAAACCTGCTGTCCCCTGAGGTTTAATTTTGACCCATGCCCACATGTCCTCAGGAAATAACAGGTCCGGTCTCAAAAAAAAAGCCTTGCGTATTCTCAGGGCTCCTTCGAAGAAAATGCTGTCCCCGCGCAAGTCAATCCTTGGCACCTGAGGCTCCTGGGGTTGGGTGCGGCGTCCGGTGTCCTTTTGCCACTGTGGGTGGACAAAATCCGTTCGCACCACTTTGAAACCATGGGAAACCTGCTATTGATAGGGAAATCATATGAAATCCATCCTTCCAGACTTTCTTAGGTCGTGCAGGATTTCGTCCATCCACATTATTTTCCACACAATGGGTTGGGTATGTTTGCTTTCGCTGGAGTCCACCTGTGCTTGCTCCTGTTGGTGCACTTTCAGTGCTCTTGGACTATCCTGCATGGGATCTACAAAAGCCGCATCCAGTGTTTGTCGCCAAATGGAAAGCACCGAATGGCTGGTTTCCATGAGTTCCCTCGAAACAATCCCCGAACTGGCACGCTACGTACATTCCGCGGGCCATCCGAGGGCCATGAAATGCGCTGCAAACTCAGAAGTTGTGTTGAGAAGGCAGGGTTTGAGGACGGTTACACACTGCACGGCTCAAAACTAGGACCCGTTTTCAGGGCCGGTTTTGCTTTAAGGGCAAGTGTGACAGCAAACATCTGGAGATGCCCCTCGTTTTACCCATATTCCCGTGTAGATTAACGGCACTACGTGCGGGCCTATGCGACAAGAGCAAATGTTACATACAAACAAAACGCTGCTTGAATTCCCAACTGCTGCAAGTAATCCATCGTCCCATCACAGCACAGCACATTCCGGGTGCAATGGGCGTCTTAGCTGTAAGCTTAGCTTACGTAGTCACACCCACGCTGGCAAACAGCTTGAGACAAAACTGGTGTCAAAGCAAAAAGAACAGCATACACTCAACTGTACAACCAATTTAAACCTTCCAAATTTACGACATGCCCCTCACCCCCCGTCCCCTCCCGCCCCAACCAAACAACTCATCCCCCTTTCCTGGTGTCAAGAATCCCTATCCCCCCAGTAAAACAAACTCAGACCCCTTCCATCCAACCCTCCCCCGTCCCAAACTTTGAACCTCATCCCCTCCTTGGCCGGCTCCCCCTCCGGGATATTCCGCCGAAGGTAGCCAAAGGTATCCCCCAGCAGACCCATTCGCCGGAGCCGTCGGATCCGCCGCACCTGCCCCATGTCCAGCGGATCCTACCGGATCGATGGTCATCTTGCGCTCGGTGCGAGAGACGGGAATGAGAAATGGAACGATCTCTGAGAAAAAACATCCAACTGGTGGTTTCCTTTAAGGGGACCAAAGCCTGGGTTCATTCCATTTCACATTCCCTGCCTATGACACCAGCAAGTCACGGCCTGGCCAAGACCCTAAGGCCAAGGGGTCTTTTAACCATGCCACAGTTACGATAGTCACGCAAAGAGTGTCCCCCCATGCTTAATTACATTGAAACCTTGTCCGGGAAGAGCTGCTGCCTGCCGTGTTGTTTGTTCAAATTGCCCAGCCCTGCTGCCTGATAGTAGTCATAGACCAGGCCAAGCAGTTGGCGAATCGTAAGTTTCTCCGTCACAATAAATTCCACATCCTCCACCATCTCGGAATATCGGGTCAAGGGAAGTGAGAGAACAACCTTGCTTGCAGCCAAAAGGTATGGACAAAGCTAATTGAGCCATGACATGACTTGAACCGGATAAGGAGAAACACGCTCGACCAACCAACAGGGAGACAACGCATTGACTTTTTAGACCTACACCGAACAGGAACAGGACCAAAGGGTCGGTGTAGCTTGGGCAACTAAGCCACAAGATTTGGAACGCAGCCCAGTTTGTCGCACAACAGCTCGTTCACCTCAGGGCAAATCCTCGCATCATCGTCGTCGTCGTCGAGGTTGTCAATCAACCTTAGTTGACGAGCAACATCGAGCAACATTGTCTTGGCAGGGGGAACGGACGAGAACGAATATGGACATGCTAAAGCAAAGAACTTCTGAGGAAAGTGGGGGACTACCTTTGCCTCCCGCGACAAGGAAGCACTTCATGAAGGAAAATGGGTAATCTTCCAGCGAGGTGCCGCACGTTGCCCTCTGCTGGGCTTCTGATAAGCCAGGATATGCCGCCTGACTTGTCCAGTGCCCATGACAAAAAGGGCACCTTTGCGGAACAAAAACACGTGGTAGTGGATGTCAAACTGAAGCCCACGGAACAAGCACCGTGAACAGAAACAAACACATGCAACAAACAGCACTACACAAACAACCAAAACACGACTAAACAAGTTGTTCTTGGCTCATATATATATATATATGCATATATTACATATATATATAGTTTCTTTTGATTAAATAAACCAAAAACACAAAAACAAACAAGCAGCTGGAGCCAAGCAAAGGGGAAAAGGTGAGGGGCGAGTGCAGGCTTCCAGCTGCTTCGCCACGGGATGCCCAGCCGCTTTTTGCAACTCGGCGACCTCCTCCGGGGTCAGCTCTCGGCCCTCCAGCTCCTCACATCCATGAAGGTGCCAAAGGGCGATGTTTATTTGTTTGTGTTTGTTCTTAATATATATATATATATTATTACTGTTATTATCATTTTTGTTTTTATTAGAAATATTAGTAGTTTGTTCTCATTATATCATCATCATTATTATTATTATCATTATCATTATTTTTATTATCATTATTATTATTGTTGTTTTTGATTGTGTATTTATTTATGTATTTAGTTATTATTTGTTATTCATTTATTTATTTATTGTTTATTGATTTTTCAAGGCCCCCACACACACAAATCGAAGAGCACCAACAAAACGAAAAGTCCAAGCATGAGTCCCACTCATATTTTCCCTCCTCTTAACCATCCTGAAGAGGGTGCCCCCCCAACAGAAACCAATTTGGCTATGAATCTTAATAGGGAACCCCCTCCAGCGTGGAGGACATGGATCCCCACCGAATTTTGATGTCCACCAAAGGGTGAATTAAAACCCGGACCCAAATGGGAGTTGAAGGTAGTTGTTGCGTTTTGGGGATCCTGGGTTGCTGTTAGGGAAAGCTGGACAAGGAGATGAGCCAACTGGAGGTGTCCCGTTGGAAACATATCCAAGCGGGGATTGCTCTACTGATGATTGGACACCCTCTTTGGAGGGGGGGAATTTGGAACCGCTGCTGCAACTGCTCTCCAAGGGGAATCCATGAATTGTTCCAAGAAGGGGGTGAAAAGACAAAGTCCGGCTAGTTCTCCCGGTGCTAAGGAGAGTGGCAGCTTGTTGCCTGCTCATCTTTGATGGTTTTGGTGGGGGTGGCCATTAACTAAGGCCCCACAACTCCAATGAGTGGCACGCTGGAAGCCTGGACTCTGTCCGCTGCCTCTTGTCCGTTTGGTGACAAGGGTGCCCTTCTGCAAAGAACACAGACGGGGGCAAGGATTCCACCAGCCAATTCAGACCAAACTGAACCAGCCCTCAGTCACTGGAAACAATCATGGAAGTGGAAAAAGGGGTGCTCTAAGAAGAGAGTAGCCTTCCAACCTCAGTCAGCTTCCATGATTCCATGATGGAATGATTGTTGGCGAGAGGGCGTTCAATCCTGTCTGTTCTCATCTTTCCGCCGAGGATATTCCTCCAAACGGTTCCCTGCATTTCCCCTTAATCCAACCACAAAATCACGAAATCACAGGAACCCTCAGGCGAGAAACAAAAAAACGGGGGCGTGTTTTTTCTCTCTCTTTTTTCGCCCTGTGCAGCAGGGCCGCTGCCGCCCTCAGGTGCCCATGGTACGAACACCCCTTCTTCAGCAGATCGCAGACAGTGCCATCCGGGCTCGCTAAAGAGATGTCCGCTTTCATGGCCACCAGCTCCTTCGGAGAGTCATGCAAGCGGGCGCCTCGTGGGCCTTGGCTCCTTTTTTTTTTTGGGGGGGGGGGGGGCCAAAAAACCGATGGGTTTGCCTTTGGCTTCCTTTAGAGAAAACTCCAAACTTGAAAATGAGTGGTTTCCCTTTTGGCGTCCTTTAGAGAAAACTCCAAAAAGGAGCTTTCCTCAAAAAACAAGACGCCCACTTGGGGTTGAGCCGCCCCATTCCTCTCCTCAATGGCATGCAAGCTTGGGAAGATGTGCGGAATCTGACACGACGTCCGATTTGCCACGACCGCGGGTAATGGCAACAACCTTTGGATCCTTGTCGGATTCGCCTTCATACTTTGCAAAGCGACTGGGTCATTTGGCTGACCGCTTGACTTCTGGGCCATCGAGGTCACTCGGTAACTACTCCTTGGCCAGGAGGAAGTCCACGTGGCCCTCGATGGCATAGTGCAAAGGGGTGCCTTCCATGAAGCCCATCGCATCAAACTGGTTGCGTTGGACCATGGGTAAGGGAATGCGAGTTGCCAACTGGGAATTCAAATGTGCAAGCCCCTGCTACACTGCAATGATGCATACATTTGTGTGTACCACAAAGTATACAATTGATATGATACACAAATACATACGTATATATATACATAGACATGCGTATGCTAGATATATGTTTTGCCAGGACGCTTCTTTGGAAGAAACCCTCACAAGTAAACAAGGTCACGCCGCCACCAACGGCGCGGAGGAATTCACAACCCTGACAAACGCCCAATCAGGATTTCTGGACATGAAATAACTACGCCATTGCTTCCCGCAAGCAATCACGCGTGTTGTGCCGCCAGTGGTAATTATGCGAATATCACCATAGCTCGGGATTCAGGCCGCCCCTCTTCTTAGCATGACACAAGGTGGCAGCCAGCTCTGCACGTCTTTCCAAACTTTCAAAGATCCCGAGGCAAGAGAACATTCTTGGCAAACTGCAGCAAACTATGGCTCACAAACGTCATAGTCTTGGAGCCTTCGGCGGACCAGTCGCACACGCTAGGGACTATAAAAGTCCAAATTCGGCCTGCGTGATACTGTGTCCGGGACTAAACTTGCGACTAAACCACACAACAGCATCCGAGCAACTTGCGCCCCTTACGTTATTACCCCACCCCACCCCACCCCACCAAAGTCATCAGGGCGTCGACCAGAACAGCGGGAAAGGCGGTGGGACGTGTTCGTATAAAAATGTGCGAAATGCTCCGCGCCGTTTATAACGCCGTGAACAAGGGAGCTTCCTAGCCCACTTCCAGGGTTTCAATCCACTACTTGATGCAACTTGATATGCGCTGTTTGTGTCAAGCTCCACAGATTTGCAAGCACACTCTGGGCGCTAAATGGACCAACTTATGCTGATTGTTCCAAAAGGCGGCAACACAAGTGAGCGCTTTCCTGACTTGTTCCATCCCAAACTCTCAAACGGTTTTAGCTCGCAATCATTTTATGTTTCGCACTGGCCGGCACTAACATGAAAAGAAACACAATGGCCGAGGTGCTGCCGAAGAAGTCCCGCTGGTTCACATCAGCTCTTTGGGCCAGCAGATCTCGTAGCAATTGCTGCACCTCTTAGGGTTGGGTTGGGCCACTTGCTTGAAATCGCCCTTCCCCTGCCAATTGACATGAAACCCGCCAAACCCTCGTTTTAGAGATAGAGGAATGCTGTAGACTTAGATCCCGCGACAAGGGAAGGGGAAGGAGAAAATGAAGGAAGGGCAACCTCAGCTCTGTCCATCCCTGGTGGTGGGTCCTGGCTGCCGCGATTTTCGCAAGCCCTGCCTGGCTCGTCCCAGCGAAACCCGCGCAGAGCGCATGCACGGGCGCGCGGGCGCCGCCCGCGCCGCAGGGGTCGGCATTTTTGTCCAGCAACCACTGGACCTCCGTGCCCCGGTGAAACGAGGAAGGGGATGGTGAGTTTCCCTGGCCCAAAATAAGCCGAGACCTTGAAACCTTGCGGTTTTTTTGTCCAACCTCAGAAATAAATAAATACATAAATAAACAGGTATATATATATATATGTGTTTTTTCTTGGCTCGCAACACTCGGAATGAAAGCGAAATCGAGGACACTGGAAACCCAAGCTTTTTGCTGACGAAAGGACCACTGGGGAAAAGTGCTGACCGCTGAAGCTTGCCACGGAGCCGCAAGCAGTGACTAAAGGGCTCTCCTGGCAGGGAGGCCATGCGCGCAACCAGTGACCTTAGTAATTCGACGAAGGGGACCTTGGGCGGTTGATGGGTCAACATTGTTTAATGAGAAGCAACCAAATACAAAGGGCAAAGCGACGCCACGCAGCAACTGGGGGGGTGCATCATCCCATGCTGCGTGGCCTGACCCGAGTGAGACTTTGAGCCAACCGGGGGCCGTGACAAGGGAAACTAACAACTGATCTACTGAACGGTGTAGTGGACATCGCTGTGGCGGGAATTGTGAAAGCATCATCGGCTGCCAACCACCTCCCAATACAAAAGCTCGTTGCCTCTTCTCTTGCCAGCTTGACCAATAGCAGCTCTCTGTTGAGGGTACCCTGAATAGGAAATGAGTGGTAGACCACCATGTTTGCAGGTCCAATTACTCACACACGCCCAATGAACCTTGGCCCAATTTTCAGCATGCCAAAAAAGACAAGTCAAGACTATGCGTCATGTTTATGTTTAGCCTCGTCCCACATATAAACTACTGTTGGAGGCAGGCGCGTGAAAATGTGCGTCAGACAAAGTGAGACGAGCCCTCCTCCACAGTGCCATGGCCATCCACTGTAGCGCGCGCATCCAGCAACAGCTGTGCCATCTGCATAGCCCTTTCGGCCACCTGTCGCATATGTCAACCACGGATTCCTCCCTTGGGTTTGTCTCAGTTCTCTCAGGCCCTGCCGTGATGACCATCCCAAGCAAACAGTGTGTAAAATAATACGACAGAAAGGGGCACCCTGAACCTGAAGACATACCCACTTGTCCAAAGGACCTAGATGGAGAACCTTGTGGTCCTGACAAAACATGGACCAACAACTGCCAGAAGGCTCTGAGAGCCTGTCTTGGGGGGGGGGTGGCCTTTTATTTGCTGGACTAGTTTGATGTCAGCCCTGGATTAAAGATGTTGACCTCATATTTAGAAACCCCCGCGTATTTGCACAATCCAAATCCCAGAACGTATTTAGAAACCCCCCCGTAATTGCACAATCCGGCTTGGCCCAGGAAATCCAAAAAAAAGGCTCAGCTCCTAGTGCGTGACTGAAAGCGAAACAGGCAAGGCAGCAACTCCTGTGTGCCCTCACCGGCGCCAAACCTGCCAGGCCCTGCGATTTTACCCGGCCACAAAAGTCGTATTGAACGAAGGCGCTGACCAACAGCCAGGTAAGGAATCTCCGGGATCCGCCGGAAGCTTCTTGAAGCTTTGGAACACTTCCCCCCCAAAGCCAAGGATCCCCTTGAATGGGACTCCTCGCCCATCCTAATCAGCCAGGCATGTATCAATCCTGGGTCTTAGTTGGCATGCTCTTTCGGACATGCAAACGCATCCATGAAATGTCCGCCCGCACCTGACATGGACCAAAGGTACTCAATTCACATTTTGCAGAACAGGATGCTTATGTCTTTGGTTCACACGTACCAGCGTTAGATTGCTGTCGTGATTGCAGAGCTGAATGACAAACACAACGGTGATTTGGCAGTTTGACACCGGTTTGATCGGCAAATTAAGGCTGGCCAGGGAAAAAGGACGCGACAAACAGGCCAATATGAAGCCTCATTCGATTCAAGGCACGGTGTTGCTTGGGCCCCGCACCTGTCTCAAATTACTGATTACCAGGTGTTGACTGACTTCGTAAACGGCTCTTGCGTGGCTTGGCTGGTGCATGCTTGTGCGATTCCAAGGTGCTGCAAACACATATATGCATATATGTATATAACTGCCACGGTCACATGCATAATGTACATCTATATATATATATATATCTATATATATATATATACATATACACAAAGATATACACAACTTATATGTATGCGGGAGGCGGCAGGTTCCGTCTTGTCTTACATATTGTCGTACTTTGCAACTGTCAAAAATGTAAATATGCTGCGCTTCTAGCAGAATTACAACCGCAAATGCGCAACGCCATCACACATACACACACTCTCTTTTTCTCAAGAAAGTCGCAATCTTAATCATCTTGTCCAAATGGCCTACCCAAATTCATGCATTGATGTTCAAGGCCGGCCTAGGTCCAAACACTCACTTACGGCTGTGATTGTGGCATCCGGTTGCCCCCCCCCGGCGCATCCCAGTGCGAGCGTGAGCGCGAGCGCGCGAAACGGCCTGGTCATGCCCGCACGGCGCCCGCATGGCGCAGTGCAGGGCCTCCTGGCTGGACGCGAGGCCCTTGCGCAGCAAGAGCTCCACAGCGGCTGGGGAGGACCCCAGGCACGCCGCCTGATTTTCTGCTTCTCAAACTAACGGATCGAAATAAAAGCTTAACCTTTTGCCATCATTAAAACTGGAACTGGGAAACCAAAAGGTCAAAAAGGTTGGCTTTGGACAACTGAGTAACAGTCCGGTGGAAGGATATGTCCCAAACCGCTTTTGCAAGCGCGACACTGGCTGGAAAAGGTGAGTTTTGAACAGGCCCTACTTCTGGGCCCCTGTCTAATTGGTGGTTTAGGTGGTTTTACAAGGGGTACCAATCCAAAATCACGGGCGACAGCGGCATGGAACGGGGTGCTAAAGAAGGGGCCCGGAAAAAACAAAGTTGCCCATCCCCTTCTGGCTTCGCGGGGGAATGCTATGTAACAAAATAACCTTGGGGGCCGGGAAATGCGACACTATGTGAACATCCTCCATTGATACTTGAGCAGCATCACATGCTGCCCAGGTAGGCCCATACGAGAGAGCAAACTGGCCTGGACGGTGGCCACAAAGCAACAACCGCACCGTGAAATTATTTGTCGCTTGAAGGTCTAGGGACCCCCCCAAACAAATGAACGCGTGTATGAAATGCAAGGGAATACAACCCACCCGTGGCACTTGGCGTCCCAGCAAGAGCCTGCCCAACCTGGGGTTTAGCGCCAATATCGCCCACTAGCCCGCTGCATCCCGGAGACGAAAAATGGCAGACCCAAAAAAACAGATTCCCGAAAAGGTACATTCAAAAAGCATTTGATTCACAAGGAAATTCCCCCCCCCCCCAAATCAACCTGTAAACGTGACTCGGGCCAACAAGTTTCGTTTTGGCAACCTTTCAAAATAAAACGTCTAAACTGCAAAAAGCAACTAACAAAATGAACCAACAACTACTACAATAACTTACTACCGGCTATCAAAAAACGACGAAGTTCGTCAAGCCCAATTGATGCCCAAAGCCGCGTTAAACGCGTTTTAAAGGCGTCGAAAGAAAGCTGCCTCCAGGTCGGCGTCCTCCAGGCGCTCGCCCTGCTTCTCCGCAGCCGCGAAGAGGATCTCCAGGTCCCGGCGTGAAGCACAGCCAAAAAAAAAGGCCGCGTGCAGCAGGCCCTTGATGGGCACCTGGCCGTAGCGGCGTGGCATTTCTCGAGTGACGCGCTTGGCCAAGGCAAAACATCCACTAGGTCCTCCAGATTTGAGGCTAGAAGAAGGGTTACCCTTTTTTTCTGTAGTCTATTTTACAGGGGGACCCTCCCCCACAAAAGGGTAAAAGGGCACTACCTGGGGGTAGACCAGGGACAAAGGCATGGGAAGCAGCCGACATGAAGCTTTACAAGCCCTCCAAATCTCGGACTCGTGCCGAATATCGCAGGGATATATATATATATATATATGGATGTGGCTCAAAAAACCGATACCAAAATGGAACCCTGGTAAGTGGAAACATGGACCAAAACCTGCGTAACCCCTCCTGTTTAATTTTGAGCCACACCCATATGTGATTCTCTCTCTAGATGATTCACAGGCAAATCATCGCACGCAAAAAATGGCCCATGGGGATGCAGGCCCGTTTAACAAGCGAGGCCAAAGGCAAACCCAACGAAAACCAAAGCAATGCCAAAGGAATTCTTGTCAGATAGCCATGTGGGAAGCTCTCATTTGATTGAAATCCGTCTTTTGGTGTTTGCTTCCTGCTGGTTTCCCCTCCAAAAATACCAACCCAAAGGGGGCTTCAGCATGAGACAATCCCAGATTAACCCCCTGCGACCGGAAAAAAAAAAGAGAAAAAGGACCGAGCCGGGCCTCGCCGCTTCTCACGAGGTCCTCCGCTGCCTTGAAGCGCTGCTCCCGCAGTAGGTCCAGCACCTCTGGAGGCTCCCAGAGACCTGGGAGCTCCAGGCGCGACAGAAACGGCACCTCCTCCTCCGCCTGGGCATGTGGCTGTGGGTCAAAATGAAACCACCAGTGGACCGCAGCTTTTTGTCCATGTTTCCTCTTACAAGGGTTCCATTTTGGGTACCTATTTTGACCCACAGCCATGTGTCCACAAAGGAGCTTGAACCCTACAATGGTGGTGCCCCTTCTGGTTTCGACTGGAAAGTCTTGGTGAATATGAGTTTGGTGCTCCGTGGGTCCACACCTGAAAAAGTGATATAGCACTAAACGAGCACCAAGGGAATAGCGGGTGGAACCCACCACGAAATGCATCCAAGCCGTTTTTCCCAGAGCGTGGGGTGTCCGGGCATCCATTCGAACGTGGCACCACAAGTCTCGATGAATAACTCACCAGCAAATTGTGTAGGGTCACCCCACCCATGAAGTTGGTGCGAACCATCGTAGCAGGGATACCTCTAACCTTCTCAAATGCACAGCCATCTTGCGAAACGTTGAAGTCCAAACCGCCCAACTTCGCCCTCCGACGCCTGCGTCGCCATGACAAACTCTCAACTGGCCCAGCAAAGGGCGGCTGAGGGATCTTGAGCCCAAGCTGCGGTGCCATCCCTGGCTGGCTCTTGAACTCTGCGGTTGAGTGAACATCCCAGCGACTTCTAAGAACGAGGACAGCCTTATACGCTGGGCAGTTGGTGGTCCAGCCACAAACGCGTCCAGTTCACTTTGCAGGCATGGACGAGTCGTCCAACGGGTGAGGCATTGCAACCTCGTCAAAACCAATCTTGCAGAAGACAAGTGTATGGTGCTTCCCCTCCGCCTGGTCCGTTTTGTCGTGGTGATGCTTTGCTTTGTTCTTTGCCAAGATTCGGTTTTGGTAACCGGACACAGGTGCGGCCGCAGAGTTGTTAGATTTCTGTTTTTCGTGCTTGGGTTTGGGGGGAGGGGGACCGTTACTGAAGCAATCCTTCAAAAACATCTGCTAGTGGCTCAATCCATTCAAGCTGCCCGTAAACAACACCGTTTGCAGAATCTTGTTTACGTAGCCCCAAATCAATTGCACAAAGAGAGTAGTACTCCAGAGCCCTTCTCTTCAATCAAGGCTCATGACAAGGCCCAGCACTTGGTGAAATCCCTGGGCTGGGCCTCTCCACGATGCAACGAAGGTACTAGATCCAGTTGAAACCCGACTGGATCAACTAGATCCAGTTGAAACCCAACTGGATCAAGAGGAAACCTGAATCCAATCTCAAGGGAAGCTCGAGAAATGCAAAATCACTTGGGCTCAATGTGAGAAGAGCAATGCTGGGCAATTCTCAATCAATTGATTGGGCTCAGGAAAACATGCTCCTGCGTCTCCATTGTTTGTGGGAGGTTTACTTTCTGCGGTCAGCTGCCTCCTTGACTGGCAAGCACATGTGTAAGGTCGTGGCTGCACTCCGCGCTTCTTCTCAGTGATCTTTGCCTTGACGGTTTTGCCTGACCAGGAGGGAGAGTGTGAAGCAGCGCGGGTCGAGCAGCATGTGGTGCAATCCGGCAGATATATACTCTGAAGAGCCTGCTGTACACGCAGACATGAACTGAACATGCTGAGCGCATTTACTTTCAGGAAAAAAAACGAGCGAAAAGGATCAAGAAAACATTGTTTCTTTGAGGGTTTCTATGAGAGTCATCTGCTGACACGATTGCTCCTTAGGGACGTGGGAGTATTGCCGTGTCAATGCACTTGTTTGTTTGAGTTGCCCCCCCCTTGAGATTATATTCAACAACCAGGAGTGCCCCAGGCCAACAACAAGGTTGCAACTTTAGCAACAGCGTCACAGTAGAAGCCAATTGCATATTCACCCATATATGCAGCGTCCTCCTTGTGGCACCTCAGAAAACCAAGGTGCGAACGGTGCGAACATGATTTCTCCTACTTGCATGGAGCCATTCAGAGGTCCAGCAAGGACATCACGCGCTTTGTCATGCACCTGCTTTACCAGGTTTGGGCCTTTGCGTTCAGCCTCCTCTTGACATTGCGTTCAATTTCGCCAGGTTCTGGCCGAGTACATGCCAGCGGGTACCTATTTTTGGTTTGCGTTCCGTTAGTGGGCTGTACGGAAATTCCACATGACAAAGGGATATTATCATCTTTCCAACAATCATGGAAATGCATGGGTCATGACGGGCTTTGGAAGAATACTATCCACTAGAGTGAAAGTAGATGGCACAATTCCCTTGATGTGGGCAAGCAAGCGGGAAAACTAATCAAGTCAGTCCCCCCAATAGAAAAGGTCCCCCTAAGAACAGCAAAACAAGATCGCCAATACTGAGGCATATCCTAAACCAATATGAGGCAACCGTGGCATCCCAACTCGCTACTCGTTGGGCCACCGCTCTGATGTCGAGGGCCCGGCGCTGCCAGGTGACGTCGGGCTCATTGACATCCACCGGAGAGCCCTGTCAGTGTGGGATGTCCCAAATTTCTGCGAGAGTCCCCCTTAGAGTGGGTTGAGTGAAACCAAATACAACACCATGTTAGGCACCCTATTTAGGAGATGGCCTCGTAATTCTTTGCTGCAAATAGTTTGGCATGCCAGGCCCATGTCATCTTTGTCGCAATAGCCAGATGTACCGGATTTAGATTCTTTGGACTGGCTGAAGCCAAGACCGTTCAAACCGGCCAAAGAAGCCACTCGGCTACTCAAACGATATGCCCAACAGCAGTCAACTTGTTGTTTTTTTGCCAGCCACCGCTGGGCTAACGGTTGGTGGTTGCGACGACCCAAGGTATTCTCTGCGCTTCTGGGCAGGGCACTTTAGATTTCTCATGCAAGGGAGAAATGCATCTGTCAATGCCTCGAACGCCAAGCCATGGTTTGGTTCTCAAGGTTCGCCCTAAGTCCAAAGCATGCAGCAGCGTGGCGTGCTGCTAGGCGTCACCATGCAATAGCACAAGGGCAGGAGCTCCAAAGCACTAGTGCCTGAACGGTCAAAGCATCCAGCCAATGGTTTTCAAGATTCGTCCGCAATGGCGAGGTGGCAACCTTTGCTGCTGGGGCCTCTTCCTCATCTTCGGCATCCTGTGAGCATGGCATCCGCACAGGGCATGCTCCAAACTGTCTTCAAAGACACAGGGAACCCACTCAAACCCGAAAGTTTCAGCCTGAGACACGAGAGATACCTTAGACCCCTAGAAGCCTTCCTTCCAATCATGGAAATGGACCGGGGGTTGGAATTTGTCCGCTTCCATGATTGTTGGAAAAAGGGTAACCAAAAGCGTTCGAAAGAAGGAATGGAATGGTCGCTGCAGGCGATGACGACCACAAGCAAGCAACCAGATCTGAGGAGTGTGGGATCCGCTCCGGTTTGGATCTTTTGTAAATGAGCATAAACCCAAGAATCGCCGAACCATAGATCTATCTGCTCTTTGGAGGTTATTTTGTCAAATCTGAGTTCTTTCTGCAAATTTCCCAGGGCATATCCAAGAAGTCAGACCCTTTCTTCGGGAAAATGCGAGACCTTTGTGGCCCGTCCTTTGTCTCTGTGCTGTCCTTGGCTTTGGCATCCTCGCCTGGCCAGTTGGCCAAGTCTGAAATTGTGACCCACGCCCGTGCAACCAAGGCATGGGCGCCATCCAAGTCAAAGTCCCAGAAAGTCGCCCAGAAAACGCTTAGTGTGCATCTCGCGGAAGTGTGCGGGAGGGGAAATACTGGCGCCAGTGCCACACAGCAGAAAGGACGATGAACACGAAGGCTAGAGAAATCCCCTGAAACAGTGCCATAGCAGCCTCTGGGACTCTGCTTCGAGGCGATGTCCAGCTATTGCAAGCTGATACTGGTCAACATTGCAGGTACTTGCTCATTTAGCTTTGCCTCGGTGATCCCTTGCAACGGGCAACATAAAGGTCATAGTTGGAAGGCTGAGTCTGCGATCAAGCCCTCTTAGCCCAAAGAAACGAGGCCTTGCTGAACATTGATATTCGGCGTGGGTGAGTTTCTTATACCGTCAATCTGATTTGAGAATGCGACTCGTTGTTGCGGCACCGCTTCAGCGCCAGGATTCAAGGCCAACATCAGTCCGAAAGCTGTACCAGGTCCAGAAGTCGTACCTATGCTATACCAAAAGCATTAATTAGGCTGAGAGGCTGGGCAGGGCCAAGGTCAGTCTGGACGGCTGAATGAAAGAAAGAGTTCTCCTCCCAAAGACCCCCGGCCTGTCTTCTCCTGGCGCCAAAAAAAGAAAAGGGAGAGAAATCAGCGTGCACAGGGCGCGATGGGACACCAGGCAGGGTGCAACCATTTGTTCTTCAACTTGTTCGGCTGCCAAGCCCAAAAGCTGAGGCCAGCTTCTCACAACACAACCTATGAACAATGATTAATGCATCTTCCTGGTAGGGAGACAGAGGTACAAAAAAGGGTTCGCCCGACAGGGTGGTGTTTTGTGCTGACTTCCTTGTGGCCTTCAGATCAACTGTTGCACTCTCTATACCTTCAACACCACACTCGCTGACAAAAGTAGCCTCTCTCGCCCGCAACATGGCACCTCATGGGCTTTAAGAGGAAACTTCCGGGCACCCTCCCAGGTGCCATGTGGGAGAAGGGGTAGTCGCAGTCAGTCCTTTGTCTGTGCTGCATAAAGGGCTTGGCAACCGGATTGTTAAATTGGACTTGTCTACATGGGCTGTCCTCAGATCCGTCTAAAAGTTTAACTTTAAATGGAAACTCCCACTAAACACTAAAAAGCTGAAAAGCTGAGGAACCGGATAGCGGGAGCCACCAAGCTACTATTGCCTTGTGTTGGTCCTTCAGGTAGAAAAGTAGTGTCAATATGCTTAACCTCCTAGCTGCAAATAAAGGCAATTTGGACAATGGTTGGATGCTGCACGCGGCCTAAAGCGATCACTGCGTTCTCTTTTGCCACCAAACAGTTGTGTGTACACGTGATCTCGGTTGCTTTTTAACCTTTAGTGGTTTAATGGAAGACCCATTAGTTGACAAAAAGTTAAAGTCCATCCCTTGGCAAAATGCACCAAGGTCATAGCAGTGTTGCCGACGGCAACACTGCCTTGATCCCAGAAGGCAACATGACGTATTGTGATGACTGGAGTTAGCCGCCCCAGGTCTGATACAACTGCAAGTTGGCACAGCTGGAAGGGACTACCAACCTACAAGATTCCTCAACCTGATGTTGTTTTATTTGCTTGTTTTGTGTTTGTTGTCGTTGTCTTTGTTTTTTAAGGAAAAATGAAAAGTAAAGAGCATTCATGAGCTTGTGGTGGCCCTCCGGCAGAACGAGCAGCCCAAAGCGCTCCTCTCCGACAGACTTCTCAGAGCCTTCTTCTTGGTCCTGCACGCTGCATCGCTTTTGGACAGCTGCTTGAGGCTTGAGGAACAGGCAAAATCGCCTGTAAAGCGTTTCGAATGGGGTATTGCAGGCTCTGCCTTTGAGCCTTTGTGCAGCCGAGCGAGGAAAGCATGGCGCTTGAGAAATTGAAACTGCAAGGTTCACATCCGGTATCTGCCTTCTGGCCTTCCTTGGCCTCCTCATCTGCCTGCAAAGGCGGTCACCGGAGTGCATGTAGGTTTCAGCGTGCGCTTGTCAGATCCTTTTATCTGTCCTTCTTGGACATCCAGTCTCCCATCTTTGATTTGGGTATGGCTCAAAATTAAAGAGCTGGGGTTATGCGGGCGTTAGTCTTCGGTTCCATTTACCAAGGTGCCATTTTGGTACCATCTTTCTTGAGCCGCAGCCAGTACCCAGCCAAGGCCAGGCGAAAGAACACAGCCTTCCGCCAGCCAGGCTGACGATGCGCCGACGCAAGTGGGCGAGTCGGCGAGTCGGCGAGTCGGCGAGGCCTGAGCCCTCAGCTTTGCCAGCACGGAGTCGCCCCCTGCATCCTGCGGCAGATTCCGACTTCAGGCAAAACAAATCTAGACGAGTCCTAGAAACAAATGCCCCATCCTCTACAGCAGTGCCGGAAGGGGGATGTCAAAGAGATGCGGATACTTGGTGTGATCTCCCCCCTCCCATTTTCTGGTGAAATGCACTGCATTTTTCAGAACCCCTGCGTTGGGAGGCGGATATGAAAGCAGCGACTGCTGGCGAGCCTTCAGCCGGATCTTGGAAGCCTTGCCCTGAACGGCGCCAGTCACAGACCCCTGCCGAGACGTGACAGCATGCCGCGACGCTTCTTGCATGTTGCTGAGGAGAGGCCATGCACTAGTCTTCACATTTGAAGGACCCGAGTGGCACTTGCCCAGGTGATCAAGGATGTGAAGGGTCAACCTTTTGACACTCCATGGGTGCCCTCCCCAGAGCCAAAGGCAAAGGCTTGCGCAACTCAAGGGGGAGCCAACCCGCCGCAAAATGTCCCAAAGCATGGAACATCATGGAACCAGCAGCAGACTGATGGAAAATCTGGCACTCGGGTTGCGTAAATCAGCCCGTAAACATCTTTGCTAGAACCTCGGCACCTAACTAATCAAGCATCACCTCAGTCAAGCTTTGTGTGTAGTTGCACAGGTTGATATTGGCCCGCTCATGTGCTAACCAATTCAATGCGACAATGTGTCTTGCTCTCGCCCTAGTCGTAGTCAACCCCACAAGCCACTGCCAGCTTGGACATCAAACCGCTACCAGGCCTCTGGATCGCCGTCATCTTCCTTGCAGCAATATCTTTCGCATGGGTGTGGAACACTCTGCCATACCAAGTGTCTTGAAGGAGTGTTCTTTCATATTGCAGACTGTGGCCCTAAAACCATTCTTCTATATTCATGGTCATTTTTATTGTGCTCACTTGCCAGGCTCCACCTCCAATTCCCCACTCGCTCAAGTTTCAACCACATACCCTTGGGGGTAAGAACCTGTGATACTACTGACAACATGTATGAAAACATAATGGTGCATGACAAACAAACACCATGGGCCGATCTATCCCAGCATGGTTCTGCCGTTGCACACACTGTCGAACAAACACAGGCGACACTCCTGAACAGAGCCTGGAAAACAAACAATTCAAATGTCAAAGAATCCTGAAACAAACCCATGTTGTGTTTCCTGTTGGGAATCAATCCCCTTAAGGTGGGCTTGGGTGCAGGTGAACTCTCAGAACTTTGGAAGCACAAACGCATTGGAAGCGCCAACTGGTGCCTGGTGGAACCTCCAACTGGACGATTCGACTGTGGCCCAGGCCAGGCCAGCTTGCATGGCCTTAGAAAGGCCGAGGCATGCCGAGGCACCCCAGATGCGGAGTCGAGTTGTAACTCGAAGCCCCGATTGAAATGGAACTATCCATCGGAAGCCCAAGGAACGTCAGCTTGCCTTTTTTCCATGTGAGCTCACTTCACTCTGACAGACTTCAAGTTTGAAGTCTGATGCTATCTGAAAAACCGGGGTGAGGCGGAACAAGGCGCAACCTGGAAAAGGGCAACCAAAACTCACTTGGCCAGTGACCAGCCAAAAAAAAGTGTACACTTTTTGGGCCACCACTAGTAAAAAGGGAGAGCCACCAAGGAAAAAGTGTAAAGTGTGTCCACTTGCGTGAGAAAAATAAAATGTCCATTTTCGGGCAAGTGGAAATCTCTCTGGGCGCCCCGGACTCGGAACCTCTCGAGGCGGCGCCGCTGCTTCTCACCTGGGGTCTTGCGCTAACTCGGACCCACGCTCTCCAAGAAACGGGTTCCAGCTAGCAGCTCTTACCCCCTTGTAGACTGACATGGAACTCGACAGTTAACCTTCAGAAGAGTAGCAACTGGGCTAAAGTCATGGAGCACAGGGAATCTCCAACAGGCAGGAAACGTGAGCAACGGCTTCATTCCAAAAAAAAACACATTTTTTGTCATATTGTCCATGCGTCCCTCAAAGGCATCGCAGGAAAGCTCGCAAACCTCAATCCCCTCCTGACGCCATGGCGATGCCCTTGCAGGCACTCGCTGACCTCCTCAGGCTGCACCGCAGCTTCGCCTTTTTCATATTTAGTGCTGGCTGTTTTTCAGCCAGCGCAAGGCGCGCTCCACTCGCTCTGCCCGTTTTGACGAGCGGGTGCTGTGCGTCCATCGCCGTGCTCGCTGCCTCGGCCAGGCGATCCGGTCGCTTGGGGATCGCTTCGGGGCGACCGCCACATGGCATCTGCCGCTGGTTAAAGATGGGCGGCAGATGGGGGAAGCCTCAATAAGGCTGGGTGCCAGGGTCACCTTTTGCACCAGCCTTGCACGGCTATGGTCTGACACAGCGTGGAGTAAACACGACCTGCCCATTCGTCCGTTGGCAATAAAGACATTGAACGTCGCCGGCAGTAACAACAAAACAAACCTGAATCTCTCACCAAACCCTGGCCTGCAGCGAAACCGCCGCCATGACCCGGCCGAGCCCATCTCAAGCTGCATCCAGCTCCCCGAGGAAGGTGCTGTTCCTCGGAGCGATGGGAGCTGTGTCACAGACTTGCTCCAAAAGTGACCCAGACTGCCAGGGTACAGGTGTCTGGCAATTCTACAACTCCAAAACCTGAAGTAAGAGTTCCCTGAGTGAAGGAGCTCGCTTTACCTCCAGGTGAGCTCGCCCTAAAATAGGCAGATTTGTGGACACACGCTTGCTGGCATTTCAAGGCATAAGTGGCACAAGGGGAAGCTTAGGAAGCCATAAGCGCTGCCAAGCCGTTTTTCCAGGAAAGGGGTTGATCCCAGACCTCCTCTATGTTGGTCCTTGATTGAAACCGAGCAAAGGGGCACTACTGAGTTTTTTTACATATTTGCATCCAACCAAAAAGGGGTGGCTACCGCGCCATGAATAATCCCCCAGGCACGTATGAAGCCGCAGCCCGAACATGAGTTCCTATCCTGGAGTGGCAACCCAAAGTACGACGCCATAGTACAGAACAGTCCCAACAAAAGGGTGCCCTTAAAACATGACACGCCCATTTTGGGACATCTCTCACCCCTTTTTGGACGGCTTTGAAAAGGGACGCCAACACAAAACCAACGCCTGGATGGGTCCACCCCTTTTTGGATGGCTTTGAAAGGGAAACCAGCAAAAAAATTACATCGCTTCGAGCAATCCCCACCCTCCGCACTCACGAGCTAAAATACCTCCGTGAACATGGTTGTGTGAATTCAAGCATGGTTTTCAAGTGGTTTGGGGCCTATGACTGCTCAACAAGCTTTGCATTGAGAGCCTTATCCACCTGTCTGTGTGTCAAACTCCACTTGTCTGCGAGCCGATCTCTAGAACTCAAACATCGGTTCCGTTAACAAAAGCCAAGCCCCCTCCAAAAACAAACGAGGGGGGATTAGACGAAGTTGCTTATTCGCAACCCAAAGCAAAACAAAAGCATCACCCTTTCCGAGCCTCAGGGTGCACTCAAAACACGAAGGCGCCAACATGAAATGTAAACCCAACTGTGCGCCGGGCGGGGCATTAAGCAAAACCAGACTGGCGAGCTGCTGTGGCGGGATACTGGCGGGATCCACTGGCGAATGCTGGCGAGCCGGATACTCGGCAGGATCCACCGGCAAGGGATACTTAGCGGGATTACTTTGGGATACTCAGCAGGATGCTCGGCGGGATCCACTGGCGGGCTGCTCTGGTGGGATACTTGGCGGGATCCACTGGCGAGCTACTCTGGCGGGATACTTCGCGGGATCCACTGGTGAGCTACACTGGCGGGCTGCTGTGGTGGGATACTCGGCGGGATCCACTGGCGAGCCGCTCTGGCGGGATACTCGGCGGGATCCATTGGCGAGCCACTGGCGAGCAGCTCTGGGCGGGATCCACTGGCGAGCAGCTCTGGCGGATACTCGGCGGGATCCACTGGCGAGCTGCTCTGGCGGGATACCCGGCGGGATCCACTGGCGAGCTGCTCTTGCAGGATACTGGGTGGGGGCGTGGTGTAGAAGCATCGCAAACGCGGATTCCAACATAAAATCTAACAACCCCTTCCTGTCGGGTGGGGAAAAAAAAACAAAACACCATGGGCGGGTCCCTCCTTCTGAGCAACGCCCACTAGGTCCTCCAGATTTGAGAGGTTAGAATTCGGGTACCGTTACTTTTTTTTGCTGTAGTCTGTTTTAGTAGGGGAACCCTGGCGCAAAAACGGGGAGAGAAGGGCACTGGAAAAAAAAAAAACAGTGCCCCTTTTGGTTGAAACGACCGGCTCCACCCGTGGTTTGACCCAGGCGTCAGCAGCGCCAGCGTGGGGATCCAGCGCTCCAGCGCGTGCTGCGCCTGGCCCGAGCCGCCGCGCCGCGAGGCGCCCAAGGCCATGCTGGCCAGCAGCCGGGGCGCCGCCTGAAGGTCTCCAGGCCCCGCGGCGGCGGGAAAAAGCGGGCTGAAGCATGGCGAGGCGACCACAGGCTTAAAAACCTCCTACAAAAATACGCGGGCTTCAGAAACACACATCTACATCCCTGGGCTTAAGAAACAAACATTAAACAAATATATATATATATATACACTATATATACAGTATATATTGCCAGTGGTGATAAATTCCTGAAACACCAACATGGGAAACATATTCTTAAGCAACTGGAAGTCTAGGACATCTACCCTGGGCTTCAAACCACCATGAAAGCAATGGGGGTTGATATGACCACCATTATTTACCTAATATTTTTCATCATCCAAGTTGAACCGCGAGTTGTAACATTTAGCACTAGTCGCAGTCCAAACGTCGGTGCCACAAAATGCCAGCTTCAAAGAGGGCCGCAAAGGCAGCATTCTGTCAACAAAAACTTGTTGGTGCCTTTTGATGTTGATCAACTGCCATATGCCAAGCAATGGTACAGGTAGGGCAGCATTCAATACTGCCGTGCTGAGCCATTGTTTCGTCGACTACTGCGCTGGGGCTTCACAGTGCCCACATCACGGTTACAAGCTGGCAAAGGGCAAACAGCACAGTCGCTGCCAAAAGGTCCACGCTCATAGCAGCCAGGCAAAAAGCGGCTCTGGAGAAACTACAGCCCTGCCCTATCAATGATGGTCACCCCATGTCCAACGCCTTTCCTGGTCTCAATTCCCAAAAGGTTGTTTAACAGGGCAGTCGCCCGACAATTGTCCTGGAGTCGAGTCCTCCAAACATATCAAACATGGTTTTGCTCGAAACTTATGGCTTTGGGGGCCAAATGCCTTGTTTGGGGCTAAAGTAGTACCAAATGGATTTTGCTCCTCTCAAAACCATGGTGCTTGGGGTAGGTTGCTACTTGAGACTTCGCCTGCAAACGTGCCTAGTGGCTGCACCCAAATCACATCCTCACACTTACCCTGTAGTGGTTCAACGAGAAACCACCCCCCGCCTGAAAACCGCCCAACTATACTGCAACCACTTGTAAAGGGACCCACCCAACCCCTGTCCCGGCCGAGCGAGAAGGTACCCTCTGCCTATCCCCCCTATTAAGGGGGAGTGGGGGGTTCCTTATCCCCCAATTCCATTTCAGTCTTCCCCACAAAAGGGAAAATGGAACCCTAAATCTTGGTTTAACTTCTTGGGGGTTTAGTGGAAAACACCTTTATTTCCCAAAAAGTTAAAGTCTAAAGATCCAACCCAAATAGCAGTCACGAAATGGAGATCTCCAGGGGTCGAAATCCCCCTCCCGCAATTCCATCTTGCAGGGGGGTGGGGGTCTCTGCCTCCAGGAGCTCCTGGAAGATGTCGCCCCGGGCCCACCAGCAGCTGCCCGGCACAATGGCCCAGAGTTGGTCCAGCGGCTCCTGGCGTCACGTGCCGCGTCGCGCGCTTCGCGCGATGGATCTGCGACTCGGGGAAAATGTCCGAGCCGTGTCTATTTCCATGGGGTAAAAGGGCGCCTGGGCTTGTTGATTCTGAAGGGGAACTGCAATAAGACAACACTAACTCTTCGCACGGGTTTTGGTCCGTTGCTTATTTTGAATCTGATAGTCTAATTCCAGACCTCGCCTCAGATATTTTGCATCCACCTGGTAAGCTTGCCATGAACTAGACAAATACAGAAACACCCCGCAGTTCGCATGTTTCAGAAAAAGCGCGACTTGGCAAAAAAGAGCAGGATTGAGGGCCCTCTGGCAAAGAAAGCTGGAAAACACAAAGGACAGCTTCGAAGGATATGGGAAGTGGCGCACCGCGCCAATCCGGTCTCAGGGAGTCGGTACCCTTGAATAGAACCAAACCTGCTGGCTTCCCTGCTGCTCAGTACAAAAGGCTGAGTCACACGAGCGGCAGCCCTCGCTTTCCACGACTTGATCGGAGGCTGTGGTCAGTCCCAACTCCGCCAAATCCCAGGAAGCTTGGAGACACCAGTCAAGCAAGTCTCCAAGGAAGCTGAGTGGGGGATCCGCGAAAACGCTAGAAACTGGAAATCAAGGTGATTCTAGTTGAAGCCCAACGAGTTGTCTTCTTCAAAATCGCCAATTGCTTTTTGCTTTCCTGCTATCAGTGTAACTTGTAGTGGCTTAGTACGGAAAACCCAGGCCCATGAGTTGGCGACAAGTGAAAGTCCTAACATCCCTTGGCAAAATGCACCAAAGAAAACATCTCTGGGAACCGTGGCAGGTCGCAGCTCGCCCCTCCTCTGAGTCCGGGCGCAGCAGCTGCCAGGTGCTGGACATGGATTCTTCATCCTTCCTGCCGGCCATCCGTACGGATTGATCAGAAAGCGGCATCATTTTTAACGTGAAGCCGAAAGGGTCCCTTTAGGAACAGTGCCTAGGGGCCGCAATTCAGGTTCCAGGAAGTAGGATATCCAAGGATACTTCAACATTGGAGGCCTGTAGGGCAAGCAAGGGACCCCCCTTGAGGAGCGGTTCTGCGCGGGGACCGCGGAGAAAATCTTGGGAGTTCAAAGGAGTTCCCAGAACAGGGTCTCAAGTCAATCCTTGACGTGACTTTGCGGGGGCCAGGCCGCAGCGCTGCAGGGGATGTGCTTCGGCGACGACCAGCCGCGGCAAAGTGGTTGTTGGGGGTGAGCCTTTTCTCACTGGCACAACAGACATAAACAAAGCCTAACCTCTCGGAAACACCCTCAGCACAATCCAGCAAGAAACAGCAAGCAAATCCGCAGGTCCTCATTTGGGAATCTCAGATTCCAGAAGCTATGAGTGCCACACAGTGCCATTCCAAACAGCATCACCTATCCCATCCCATGCCGTCCTCATGAAGAGCCGTGCCTTCCCGACCTCGTTCTCCCGACACTCCATGGCTTGGCAAAAGCCCGGGGTGAAGGTCGCGTGCCTTTCAGGGTTTGGCCACCCCCTGTTAACTGAACGAACTCCTTGAACGCACTCCTTGTGGTTTAAACCTCTACCGTTCAAACCGCCAGTGTTGCATTGTTTAACCTTTTGCTCGCCACTGCTTAAATCTCTAGCCACCAAGTTTGCACCCTGGCGCCTTCCCACGTGCACAAAGTCCCGCGGGCCAAGCAGCTTCATCCCAGGGTGCTCCTTGAAGCCCCAGAGGGCGCTTTTCACCACAGCCCCACTGCCGCACAAGTTCTTGAGCATGTTCCTGCGCCAGCTGTCCTGAAGCAAACCACAAAGCTGCCAAAGCTCGTACAAGCAATCTGCAAACTTCGCAGTACGGACATCATGTCTTATCCAATCAGCCTTGTACAGCATGTAGGGTTGACGGGGGGGTTTGCCCGGACTTTCATGTTGCCCCGCGCATGCCGATCCTCAGCGTGTTCGCGCCTGTCGGGGGGGGGGGGGAGGGAACGGGGGAGGGGGATGGAAAGAACACAGGTCCATGTTTCCAGCATGTCGAGGCTCAACTAGTCGACCCCAACCCTCAGCCCCACACGCCATGTGACTTCTCCGCTATCTGCGCGCTCTACGCGACTGCGCAGTCCTAGTTGCTTATCTGACACGCTGCTTCTTGCCGCAGGTGAGCGGAGGGCAAAACCCTCCGTGTGTTTCTTGCCGGAATCAAACAGCTTACGCGACAGCTTACGCGTCGCTTACGCCGCACTTGAAAAACCTTACGCGCCGCGCATTTGGATTCTCACATCTTTCGCGCAGCTTACGCAGAGGCTGCCAATGACTTGCTTTTCGGTCTTTTCCGCACCTCCAGCTTTGCTTCTTGCAGCTGCACTGGCCCCCCAAAAAACGGCCGTCTGTGACTTGCTGTGACTTTGTTGTCAGCTTTTGAACCAAGTGCAAAAAAGATTTAGTTCGCCGAACTAAATCGTTTTTATCCTGGGGCCCTATTGCCGCGCAGTTTGTTTTGAGCCTTGGAGATACCTTGCTGTGGCCCTAGGTGAGACAAAGGCCACCCGGCGGGTGGGAGAGTTGGATGCGCCAGCAAGGGTCGCGGGAAGCAAAACCACTGAGCCAGAGGTTGTTGATAAATTGGTGGCTGACAGAAAGCTGCTTTTGACTGACCGGCCTTGGGCAAAAAGCGCAAAACGATTTAGTTCGCCAAACTAAAATCATTTTTTCCTGGTGGTGGCTCTTCCACCTCTGTGCTTGCCGTGCAGCTCTTTTAAGCGTTGGAGATACCTCGCTGTGGCCCTTCGCACGTTTTTTGAAGCAAGCACCAAAAAAAGATTTAGCTCGCCGAACTAAATCGTTTTCCCGGTGGGCCCAACGCCTCTTGCGATACCTCGCTGTGGCCCTAGTCAGGATTTGGTCAATGGCAGGCTTCGTGCTTACGCGCGGGCTTAGGCGCGCAATATTCGCAACGTACTTACGCGCGTGCGTACGCAAGCTTACGCGCAAAAAGGAAAAACCTTGCGCAGACCGTCCGAGATTGGCGCCCCCTTACTAAAATGGCCTTGGGAGGTTTTGCCCTCCGCTCAGGTGGTTTTAGACACCTGGTGTCTAAGAGGGCTTGGGCCTTCTTGCGTTTGAAGGAGCTGTCCCGAATGCTGGGCTTTATTTCCGCAGCGCTCTCAGTACCAAGCAGGAACGGAAGTTCTGCCAGCAAGTTATCAGCGCATCTCATGATGCTCATGACTTGTCTGCTTCGCATATAAAAGGCAGCCTGGCCTGGACGGCTGCGTGAAAGCCTTGGTGGCATTCTGAAGGTCTCTCACTAAGAGAATCAAGCCACAGTCCTGGAGCAAATGAGAATGCTGCGCCTGCCAGCACCACGTATTCGAATCTGAGATTCGAATACGCGAAGTTGGACATTTGCAGGCTTTCCTGTGATTTGCAGGCAACCCAACATGTAGTAACACACTCTCAAACAACATCTCAATAGCAGTCCTTGGATTTTGTGTGTATCTTCAGCACGGCGCTGTAGCTTCCCGGTGGCTCCGCAACGATCTGCTGGAGAAATTGACCAATGTCGCCTTTAAAGAGATTGGGAGGATCCCACCCACCTTGAGGGGTAGGGGATGGGGTGTGTCCCCGACTTCCTCTTTCTACATTCCTCAACAAAGGGTAAACCAAGCACACCTGAAATTCTAGAGTGAACCCAGTCCCCACTCTAGCTCCAAATATGACGGGTGGGGGGTCACCCAGGCAGGACCGAAAAACAAAAAGCCTTCGCAAACATGCAACAGGGCCCCTCACCCATCCGAGTCTATTGTGCAAGGGCCCTATCATAGTACTCCAAGTATGGGAAGTGCATATTACACAGCTTGGAGGGAGATGCGAGGGCTGCAGGATCTTGCGGCCTGCCGCTTACCAATCAAAACCTCTGCATTGCTTTCTTTGCCAAACACACTCCCGTGGCATCATTAGGTGGAAGTGACATTGGGACACTTACAGATTTGCATCAATTTACAGCCGTAGCGATGGAGCAGTAGCCTCGCTTCAAGGCATGAAGTCATAGAGGCGCTTTCTGCCGCACTTGTGTTCGGAACCAGGGTGGTGGAAAGGGCCAGGCTTCCAAGTACCTCTTGATGGCTTTTGAGTGGCAAAAAGGGCTATAAGTATTTCCCTATAGGTACCTGCACCCTCTGCGAATGAACCCAGCGCAAACATCTCAACCCTCCCATCTGCGCCGCTGTGCCGCTGCGCCTCCTCGGTTCTCTACAAACAGCACGCGCCAGCGCCGCACCCCAGGCAACTTGGAGATGTTCCGCTGATATCTGGCCACCGTTTTGCTGTCCGTGGCGGATACCTAGCGGCGACGTATTGGCCCAGTCGCTGCGAAACACGTGGCATTGAAGAGAGCGCTCTCGCCTGTAATGATGCTTCGAAATGGAACGTGAGAGGAATGTGAATGTCTTCTTTGCAGCGGCCCTTGCTTTGAGGAAGCAGCCAGGCAGGAAAAAAGGAACACACACACACACACATTCAAACACACATTGAGAGGCGTTGCGTGTGATCGCATGCAATCGCATGCAGGAAAGCGGCGACCAGCGCCGTCTTACATAGATCGCAAAGACAGAAAGCAGCGAGCGAGCAAGCAAGAAAACGATCAAAACACAACCAAACAATCAAACAAACACAGCCAACCAACCAACCAACCGACCGACCGACCGACCGACCGACCCACCGACCCACCAACCAACCAACCAACCAACCAACCAACCAACCAACCAACCAACCAACCAACCAACCAACAAGTCAAACAAGTCAAACAAGCAAACGCCAAAAACACGATTTAAACGAAACAAACACAGCACGAGTTCTCCAAGAAGTCCGAGGGACAATAAGGTCGATGGTGCCCCCAAGCTCGGCTTGGCCCCGCAACACAGCTCTCAGGCATTGGAACATCTCGTCCCAGAGCTTGGCGTTCGCTGCCTGATGCGTGTGCGCGTTGTGTGTTTGGGAAGCCTTGGTTTTGGTTGCCTTCAAGGGAAACGGGCCGAAAGGATACACTCAGACTAACATGGAAGCTCGCAGAAGTGTAACTGGAACCAAGTCTTGCAAAGGGGTCCGCTCGGGAGCTTCCATGTTCGTCTGGGGGAGGGTAGCCACCATTTTCAGGGGGCCCCCTATTTTGGAGACAATCCTCAATCTCCTGTTGGGAAAATCCCTTTTCGGATTCCATATGGGCCATGGACGCCCGAAATTGGGCCTCCCTTTGGTGTTCCCCGCAAGCAGGGTCAATACATCTTGGGCTTGCACATGTTGGTGGCGCGCAAAGAAACCTCGACATAATCTAGGCAAGAGTTAGACCCACTGCGCAAACAAGCCTACGCATGTTGATTTTAGAACGGGAACATGCAGAATCAAATAAAATATAAAGATTGTGGTAAGTCCGGCAATGTAATTAATTCTCTCTAACGCCCCTGAAACACCAACATGCTGGTGCACTCATAGGCCCATCATTTGTCAAAAAGGACAACAGGGCGCCATTGGTCTGAGAAGCTGTGCCCAAACGTTGGCCCGTCAGCGAGAGCTGAGCTAGCTCCCTACAAGTGAACATATCATGGGGTCCTCTCAAAACTGCTTTTAGGGAACAGTCTCCTTTAACCCAACATAAGGATGGTTCCGCTTTATGTACTAATTATTTCAATCCCTCCCACAACATGGCACCTGACAGACATTTCCCTGAAAAAGGAAAAAACATGAAAACAACTTCTGGGATTTCCACTCCCACCAAAAAATCCGATTTCTTGGGGAGGAAGGCAAGTTCTTGATGTCACCTTCCACCTCTTCCACCTCTTCCCCGCTTCCCCGCCTGCACGTACACGGCCACGGGCAGCGGCAGGAAGCCTCTCGCCACCCTCCGCGGCAAGCGCCGCACCGGGCTCTCGGGCTCCGCGTCGGCCGGATCGGCAGCGGAGCTGTGGCCCTGCGGTCAAAGACTGGACCTGTTTGCTGGGAATTCCGGGGGGGGGGGGGGGGAAATGCAAAGTTTCTTTTATTTTTCCCGTTCCTGGCTGCTGAAATGCAAAACACGTCCCAAAACAAGTCAAAGAATGAAGATCCTGCACAGCATAGGATAGATCTGATTGCCAAACCGGGTGCCGCAAACCAAGAGAAACACGAACACACACACACACACACACACACAGACACACAGACACACAGACACACAGACACACAGACACACAGACACACAGACACACAGACACACAGACACACAGACACACAGACACACAGACACACAGACACACAGACACACAGACACACAGACACACAGACACACAGACACACAGACTGACACACAGACACACAACTGACACACAGACACACAGACACACAGACACACAGACACACACACACACAGACACACAGACACACACACATAGACACAGACACACAGACACACAGACACACAGACACACAGACACACACACACACAGACACACAGACACACAACTGACACACAGACACCACAGACACACAGACGCACAGACACACACACACACAAACACACGGACACACACACACACACATCCAGTTGCCCACCTACCCGCTCACCCACCCAGCCACGCACCCATGCTGGCACGCCAGCACGCACAACAAAAAACACATTTCGCCAAACACACACACACACACAAAGACACACTGAACAACTAAGACAAACAAACCCGAGGCTATCTGAGCATTCGACCGCTACAATGCAGCAGAGTCGCAAGCGATTTCCGCTCACCGGAAAGCACCGATTGCACCAAAAGGTTGCCAAGAAATAGTGCCGCCGCTAGTGAGGCAAATCCTGAGACAGGTGGCAGGGGGCGATGCTCTTCAGGAGGAGTATCTGGTAATTAAGGCTTGGTTGTAGCACTTCAAGGGATTGAACCCCCTGTCAAAATTGAAGAGACCCGTAGAACTCAACATGCCGAGAACAGTGGGATAAACCCTAAGCACCGTCCAACCAAGAGGGTGAAGGGTTGGCGCAAGCTCCCCTCCGCCTCACTCTCGGAAAAGTGACCTTGACGGTGGGGATGCGGCGCCAGTGCCACAGTCAGAAAAAGTCAGAAAACAACTCAAAAAAGATGGATCAGTCCCTTCACGTGACGCGCTGCCTGCCTCACCTCCTTATACTCTCCCCCAATATAACTCCTAAAACAAGATTGGTCCCATACTACTCCAAACGGGGGGTACCCTTTTTGAGGGGTCCCTGGAATTTCCGCAATGATTGGCGCCTTCAACTATGCCCTCCCCGAGCTGGCATGACTGGACCGACGCTTTCAACAGCTCAGCTTGGGCAAGTGGACTGGGAAGGAAACCAAAGCCTCCACAACACCTCTGGACAGGTTCTTAGACCCTTGCAAGGGGTCGATAGGAAGTTCTTGCAACCCGCACACAGCGGGGACGCACTGCCCGGTCCCTGGCCTTCGCCCCAACCGCGCCAAGCCGCTGGCCTTCCATCCACAGATCATTCTGCAAAGATCCCATGCCGCAGCCACCAGCCGCCAGCCGCCAGCCAGGGCCGCAAAAAATCGCGCGCGAAAAGTGGGGGGGGGGGGGGCCGAAAGGGGTTGATGGATCGGGTGGACTCAACGCCGGGCTTTTTAAGATGTGGGGAAATCTTGCAACAAGGGTGCCACAATATATGCCAACTGTGCAACTCTATGGCTGAAGCTCCCGCATGCTACCAAAAAAACAACATGCTCGTGAGACGTGATACCTGCCATGTTGCCGGTGCAACACGCCAAGCCTCCTTGAGCACGAGACACGCGGACCTTGAACAGGTCCTTGCTCTGGCTGGCGCGGGTTGAGGGCTTGGGGGGTTGGAGAATGAAGTCTGGGATGGCCGGGGAACGTGAGGAGTTGGGAGCTGCCCCAGGAAAGATAGGTTTGAGATTCATTGGGATAGTAGCCAACGGAAGGGTTCCTATCTTCGCAGTCGCCGCTAGCTTTGGGGGCTATGGACCTCGCTTTCCGGAGCTACTGGTGAGTTGAGGCTTGCGCGGGCCAGCATTTAGCCAATGGGTCGGTGCGTAATTAGAGCAGTAATTAAGCGCACCCCCCCTAAGTTGCCTTTTGTAATCAGTGACACGTTCAGGCACGCCCCAAAATAGCAGGAACGTGGGCATACAGTCACAAAATTCAAGGGTAGGCTGACGTTGCAAGCTCCTCATCGGAGAATACCGTAGGCTCCCGGGCGTTGCTCCTCTGTGACCTCCTCGAAAGCAGTCTCCATGGTGGGCCTGGCATTCATGCTGCAAGGGTGGGGATGGGGTGGGGGAATTCGAATGACTTTTCGTGGGTGCCTCTGCAAAATGGCTTGTTTTGCTTGTTTATGACAGCTGCCACCTGTCACACAGCATGCAACATGTTTTGACCCCCTTTTTCTTGGTCGAAACCAACGAGCGACCTTGTTACGTCGGTCGTTCCCATGGCCTCCATTGGCAGAACCCAACAGGGCCCAGCGATTTTGGGAAACAAAGCAATGCCGCCGCTTTCCAACACAACCATCCCTCGACCTGGCAAGCTTGCCAGGGGAGCTCAGCGGCGTTTTGCAGCGCCAGTATCGCCCCAGGGGTTTCGGCCACAATCTCCTCGGCGCGGATCGAGGCGACAGAACCGAGCTCGTGTGGCGGCCGAAGAGGTGCCGCATTGAGGGCTGGACAAAGGGCAAGGGGGAAGGGGTGTTGAAGAACCTGGCTCCTGGCTGGTTTGTCCATTTCCTCTAGATGCTTTTGGCCGAGGCACCAAATCATCACTTGAGCTGCCGATTTCCATGCCTGGCGTTGGCAGGGAGTTGGTTGATTGGATGGCAAGTTGGAAACATGAGTTGCTGAAGGCGCAGAGACATGTTTGCGGTCGCGCATGGCCCAGGATACAGGTCACCTTTCTTCCCAGAAAACACACTTTGTTCTGTAAGGCCAGCGTGTAACTTCATTGCGGTTGTGAATTACCTGTGAGCAAAATCTACTATTCGGGAGGTTCCATGGAAAATCCGATAATTTCAGGGTCTGATAATCCATCAAAAAGTGGCATGGTCTTACCCAGGCAAACTTGTCGACATGCGCCGACATGATCAGTCCTCCAGAATTACCCTGAACAGGAGACAGATTACTCTTCCTCCCACAAAGCTAGCATCTGTGGGAGAGCACCTGTTCAAGAAAGCATCTGTCAGTGCCACCGTGCCTTAATACAGGGGATCCCTAAAATGAATGTGTTTTCTCTAGTTTCTCTTTAAACCACTTCAACAAGGATAACCTCAAAAACACCTCCAGGTATGTCACCCCAGGGCGCGAATCAGGCCATCCAACCCATGAAACGGCGACTCGAGGGTTTCAAGAGGTCCAAACACGGCAGGCGCTGCAAGCTTCGCCTTCCCTCCTGGCAGTTGACATGTACAGATGTCTCCATTTGGCTTTGTCGCTAGGGAACGTCTATCTGATGGGTCCCCGTTTTGGAAACACACAGGGTCCCAAACAGCCCCTCTTGTTGTAACAACAACCAATTCAATGCAGTTTTGCCTGGTCCTGAATTTTGAGCCACGCCTATTCTCGAGATTCGTGGTCTTCCTTTAGGCGAGATCTGCAAACCGCCGCAAAACATTGGGTACCTTGAGATGAAGAGAGCGTGTTCCATATTTGTCGGAGAGCAAAGCGGGGAATGACATCTGATGTTGAACCCAAATGAATTGGCCAGGCAAACCCATGCGGGGTGTTCCGCGCAAAAAGTGAGCAGGCCCAACACACTAATTCCTTTCTACTAATCGGCCTGTTGATTTCCTGAGTCCGCGTGAAAACAAAAGACATGAGAACCCCCCCTTTATCAACCAGATCTGCTGTTTTCATCAATGGAATGGGGATGTCGCATTTGAGAGGGAAGCCTTCAGCTTCTGATGACGCACACCAGTGATTTTCCAGGTTGATTCATGGGGCTCGATGAGCCACTCGCTTCCGTGGGTTGGCCCAAAACAGCCCAAACTCTTTGCTTCACAACTAGAACGATGTTAGTATAGGAGTAAAAAGGGGCGGAACCAATCGATTCACCCTGCCAGCGGCCTGGACTTCTTCTTCCTTGAGCGGCTCTTCTTCTTGCGCTTTGCCTGCCAATCTCCCTCCCCGCGTTTGTCCAGCACAATCTGAAGCATGGGCGTTCCGAATGCTGTGTCAGGTCGCAGGATCTTACATTCCCAACCTGACACTGTCTGCGCGACAAAGCGTGCAAAACGGGCAGTTGTTTTGCTTGCGGGATAATTCAAGGTAGCAGCCTTGTAAAGGCCTCCAAACTGATCGGGATACACCAACACCATGATAAGCTGAAACTTGCACAAGCTCGTTGTTGCTGCTACGGTGGCACTCGCTTCAAGCGCAGCTGGCAGTTTGCGTCTTTTAAGCCATCAGCCCCAAGGGTCACATCCGGCACCCACACCAACACCGGCTTGTACTCATGCACATCCCGTAGGAAGTTGGTGATGCACGTCCTAGAGTTTCACTCGTTCGAGGCGTCCGCTCTTCCGGCCTCTTTCTTCTTCTTCCGCCGCCGGCTTCGCGATGAGGAGGAGTATGACTCGTAGCTTTTGCTAGACTCCTGTGCGCTGAACAATGCCGAGCCCGGACTAACCAAGCTGGTGGATTGTCATAGGGCCGCTCCTCTAAAGTGAAGAATCCCCAATCTAATGGAACACACCGTATCAGTCGATCAAGGGTTCCTTAATTCTGGGTTACCATTAGTTCTAAATAAGCGAGGGTCTCCTGTCAATGCCCGCGGTTTTGGAGAACAAACCAGTCACATGAATCATGCTTGCATTGAGTCACGCAAATCCTCAAAAAAACACCTAGCAACCGCAACACACACACACACACACACGCACACATGAAGCCTTGAAAGCCGTAGCATGCGGTTTTGGGGCCGCGATTGATTCTCGGCCTCCTCCTTCTTCTTCTTCGCCTTTCGCTTTGACTTCTTGGCCTCAGACTCGCATGGGCCAACGAACAGGTGCAAAAAGCGAGAAATGCAGTCGAAGGCCAGTGGCGATGTTGGGGATACTAAATAAAAGCAGTCGATGTATGTCCGTGTTAGGCCAGTCGAAAGCAAACCCTGAACGACCTGAGGCGAATGGAAGGGAGACCCAATGTGGACAATTCGGTGTGAGCTTCTGATCGAATGCCTCTGATTGATTCTTTGAAGCATCCCCAGGGTGCACAAAAGACGCGGGTTCCCAAGTTGGGCAAGGCCAGAAGATGCAAGAAGGCTGCAGACTGACGAAAGCAATTCTGCCAGATGCCCAGTGGCCATGGGAATAAAACGGCATCCTTTTTTGGCTGGTTGAGATTGAAGGGGAACTCTTCCCCAAAAAAAGGGAAAAGGGCGGCACTGGGCAACTGGGATTTTGTTAGTCTGCCTCTTATCGCTGCATCCCGATCCCTCCCCGTCCTTCTCCTTCTCCTTGTCCCTTTTCCGGTCCTTGTCCTTCTCCTTGCGCCTCTCCTTCAGGGAAACTGGCTGTGACTCAGTGAATGGGAAACACACAAATCCGAGCCTTGCCAAAAAGCCACCATCCGCAAGAGCGTCCACATAAAAATAGGCACTCAAAGGGTAGGAGCCCAACAATGCTGGTGATCAGCTACGGCACGGGGCCGGAAAAGTAAACAGCCAGCAACAACTTCCAGGGTAAGCTCCAAATACAAAATATAACATGACTTCCAACGTTCGGTGCATGCGGAATGCATCTTGACTGAAACAGGTCCTGAGGTGACGGTCCCCTCCCCCCGAGCTTCCGCAAGCCAAGCATCAAAGCAAACATCATTTCGCCTTTAAGAGATGGACCCAATCAACGTTGACTGCTGGTTCCTGATCAACCAGCCCCGCTTTTGCATCCGGGGAACACTTTTGGTTGCAAATTACATCTTTTCTTGCAGAAAAGCTCCTGACTGCCACTGAAGGATGCATTGACCAGGGGCTCCAACCCCACGCTGAGGCAAATGACTCACCGCCGACCGCTGGAGCCTTGGACTTGTCTCTCTCCTCGGAATCTGAGTCGTTCTTGGCCTGACTCATGGAACAACTTGCCAATGCCGTCCCTGCCGGTGTACCGAAGCCAACCCATAGACAGCGCATCAGAAAGAAGGACCTCACGCTGGACAACTTGTTTAAGGCACACATCGAAACCTATGACATCATTCAATTTGAAAGTACATCCTGCTCTCTGCTTGTCAGAGACTTGGCTAGCATGTGGACTCGGTTGCCCTGAGAATAAAGACGGGCCAACCCTCTGTTGAAGCATATTCAGACCAATACCTCAGTTGTTCAGTGACCCTGGAAAACAAGGGAACCCTTTCTGGGGAAGACCATTTTTAGTGGGGCAGCCACCAAAAAAAAGGGAGAAAGCAAAAGGGTGCCACTGAACAACTGAGATACCTACCAATCCCCGTTCCCAATCGGCTTGCCGCGGCCTGTGCCTCCTCCTCCTCCTCTCGCCGAGCCTTGCGCAAAACCGACTGCGGGGCCGGCCCACGAGCGAAACATGAAGGCTATTTAGCCGCTATTCGGGAAACGCCGCCGA